CTGTGGATGGGTGGGAGAGAGACGGCGTCAGGGCCGATACGAGAGCGAGACTCCGTCTGGCTGTGAGCGCGATAGCGTGCACGTGTGCACGTGTGCTCACGTCTGTCTGGCTGCTGTCACAGCAGCTGAGCGACGTAGCCTCAAGAGCTGTGGATGACGTCCCGTGCTCGGTTACAGCTCTGAGTTCTGTCAGCTGTTCTTCTTCTTCGTGACTGACATCCAAAGAGGGTCGGAGCCGGTGGCTTCTCTCTGGGCTGAGGTTTCTTCCACGGTAAGGGTCTCTTCCCCGGTTAATTTGGCGGTAGAATGTTTTTCCTTCCCCCCCCCCCACCCCTCCCTTTTTGTTGGTCTGATCTTAAAAGCCCAGAGACGGTGACTCCAATTTAATTGTGATCGTGCCGAGTGAGTCGTGCGCTGGAGTTGTGGCCGGGCATCGGGCAACAGCTGTCTCTCGCCACATCAAACAGCAGCTGCACAAATGTGTTAAGGGCGCAAAAAATCGGCACTCGCCAAGAGCCCCAATGTACATAGCATATGCGATAGATGATACGTTGCGTGCGTGTAACGTATATTATTAAACGCAGTGCCCTAAGCAATGGGTGATCTCTGGGTAATTCTGTGCTATTAGGGGCTATAAAATTGATACGTGTGAGAGAAAAACGAGATTGGCCGGGAATTGTCGAGCTCGTTAAAATGTGGGGCAATTAAAGTATACTGGCGAAGGTGGAAATGATGAACGGCGATATGCGAAGGTTCCACTTGAGTCGGTAAATTGACACTCATGCCTAGTAAATTGACGCGCACGTATAGTGGCCATACGGAATACTCTTTCGTGTTCCGTGCATTGTTAGAGCATGACATACATTGATATGCACGTGATATTAAATCACCGTGCATGTGTTGCAGATCATCATCATCAGCATCACCACGAGTAATTGATATTCAGGTAAAACTCACCGAGACAACAGGTATCTCTTTGAGTGGGCGCACTTCAACGATGAATGCTTGCAAATACGCACGACATGATGCGATAGTAAATTATGCATCGCAGCAACCTTTTAAAAATGCATATCGCAGATGCTACATGAAACACTTCTCGCAAAATAAATCACACAGATGTGCAATGGCAGAGCCAGGATTTTCAGGTAGTGGGGGGCAACCCCTCCAGCAATAAAAAATGATAGAGGAGTTGTTAGTAAGTAAGGACTTGTCCCTTGCTTTTTATTCGACACGTGTGCGGCGATGGCACAGCCATCGATCGAGGGTCGAATTCGAACCGCGTGTGATCGGCATCACGCTCGCTCAAGGTGTTTGCCTTCAGGGAAGTCGTGTACTCTATACGCAACTGCGCACAATTCTGTGAGTCACTTATAACTGCTTTGCCGTTACTTATTGCCAATTATGGACTCAGACTATTGTCCTATCATCTCATAGAGTCCCTGGCACGTAATAATATGCTACACAGTGGCAGTGGGGGTCGCAAAATGCTGATTTATTACTAACCCCAATGATCCGATCGAAATTAGGGATTTCGATCGGATCATTGGGGGGGGGGGGGGGCACGTGCCACCCCACCTCCTCCTCCCACTGGCTTCGCCAGTGCAGATGTGCAAAAGCAGTTATATTATATGGCGCAGGGGAACATTAGGTTGCGAGAACAAACACAAATGCAGCTTGCAAGGGAGTGTTTGTCATTTCTGGCGCCATGACTACCAGCTCTACATCACCCTCTCCAAAACGTTTATTTGATAAATAATATTTACTCAATTAACATGAAAACAATGGAAAAGACATGGAATATTACGTACATTTTCTTGTATGTTTTTTCCCCCACCGCCACCCACTTACACTACATAGGAGAGCATCCTCACACCGTGAGTCACCTGCACTTGTGATAGATTCCCATCAGTTGCATTCACTTTCACACGTCCTGCGCGCTTGGTGGTCGCTGGAATTTAACTAGAGTGCTAATTTGCCAGTTGCTTTGGTTTGACCTCTGTGTGACTGGTTTGACCTCTGTGTGACTGTTGAGTCACACCGTTGCCTCCCGTGTCTCTCTCTCTTGCTCTCCATAGCTGTGAGCCTTTCCTGTCCGAGAGGGGAGGCCTCTTTAGCCAGACTCTGTCGGGTTTTTCTATTAAGCGCTACGATGCATGCTACCTTGAGCGTTTTGGCATCGGGAGATCGCAGTAACGGGGATTCAGTCGTGCGGTTAAAGGCCGTTTAACTTGGGCTCAAGGTCAGATGCCGAATATGTAAATAAATAAGTAATCGTTGGTTTAAAAATAAAATATGCGGTGTATAAATGTGTTTGGATGCCGGTTATGTGACAAAGTGCCTATTGAATACACTTCACAAAGGGAAATGTCATTGCGGTAAAGTAGATGTGTGTAATAAAACAGATGTTATTGAATTTTATACTTAATAAAAAATATTGGTTCACGCATACATCACCTATTATTGATCAATTAATTTGTTGCTAGGCCATTATTAGGCAATGGTAATGCATATACAGTACGTGCACATTTATATGTATGCACTTGTGTATATTTAAATTTTAACGTTTATCTTACCAAGTACGCAGGGGAGGGGATTGGGGTGTTGGTCATTTGGTACAGCAGTGCGAATACCAGTTCATATCCCACCAGCATCATCATCATCATCCCCCCGTCATTATGAATCGTCAGTCCGCATCAATTATCATCATCATCATCATCATCGTTGTCATCATCATCATTGTGGGGTTCGCAAAATGAACACCACCTGTTAGGTCAACAGTTGTGTCCCTTTGGATAGACTGGTTCCTGCCATATGAATGTGAAATTTCCCTTCACCGACTCAACATTGATGATAACTGTCCTGCATTCTCCTGAGCGACGAGGACCTTTTAAAATTCGTGGTAAAAGTGTACTTGTCTTGCAATGTCTTGCATCCAGCGTTACATCGGGAATGGCTAATGATGCCATGCGTCGGTTCATCTTTGTGCACGCACCATTTAGCTGACGGCCCACTCCAGGTTGTTTTTCTTCCTCCGCCAGTGAAATGTTCACGTCCGTGGAAGCGCATGAACAAACTTATTTCCTGGGACGACCCCATTTCCATCACACACGTCCCCACCCCCCACCCACCCACCCACAACCACGCATCCCTGCTCTCCTTTCCGTCCCCCCACCTCTCCACCACCAGCACAATCACACCGCTCCCCACCACCACAACAACAACCACCACCACCACCAAGCAGCAACAGCAGCAGCAGCTTTCCTCGCCCCCACCGCTTGTCCCGCCCTCCCCTAAGCCCCCCGCACGTTTCCGTAAACACGACGGCAATGAAACGCCGCTGCCGGAGCCTCGCGCCCGCAGTCTCCGTGAGACGCAGTCGCAGGTGCCACCGTGCCAGCCAGCGCCGCCTCTTCATCTGAGCCGCTGCTGCTGTTGCTGCTGTTGCCTCCGCTGCTACTGCTGTTGCCTCCGCCGCATCTGCTGCTGCTGCTGCTGCTGCCGCCGCCGCCGTTCAGGCATTGCTCTTCTGTGCACTCTGAGTAAGTAAGCACGTTCATGAACGAGCGGGAAAATGGTAAACATTTTAGTGTAGAACACAACTGACCACAAGCTAGGCGGCTTCTGTTTGTTGCTGTTGTTGTTGTTGTTGTTATCGTCGTCAGTGTTTGGATGGATGTGATCGCGGCTGTGTCTGCAGGCTGCCTGTGATGGATGCGAATGTGGATGGGAAATGCGGACTTGACGGATGTGCGTGCGCATCGCAGACCGATGAATATGCAGATAGACTAATGGATGTTAAGCGGATGAATGTGAGAGCTAATTTAATTTATAATGAAATTGATTGGTGATATTAGTGTCATCAGTCAATCCAAAATAAATTGATTTTGCTGCCTTAGATGAACTCGTGCTCATCGGGATGGTTGCTATCATTTGGCAAGACATATGGAGTAAAGCCTGGCTCGTATTTTGGTCGAGCGACATTTTTCTGCTGATGTATGTGTTCTTGTTATTGCAATATAAGACTTTAATTGAAACCACAATCTCAACACATATCGCAGTGTGCCAGGGATAGCAGTGAATATTAATTAGTTTTTTCGGTAAAGTCACGTTGAAGGGAAACAACAAAATAATAAAATATATAATTAATATATAAATAAGTTGTACTTATTTAGCGTCTAATTTGAACGCATCTCAAAATACCATACAGAAACGGTGGGCATTTTCACTTTTTTAAGAGTCAGTCATAGGCAGTGGAGAAAAGAGGAAGATCTTGAGCCCTGAACTTGAACTGTGGCAGGGAGTCGACAGCACGCCTCACTGGGGGGAAGGAAGTTCCAGACCTTGAGGGCAGCAAAGGAGAATAAGCGACCTCCCACTGAGTGATGGTTGACTTGTGGCTTCGATAGAAATCCTTGATTCCTGGGGTGGAGAGTGCGTACAATGTGACGGGAGGGAACAGGTAGGGAGGGGAGTGTGAGGTGGGGAATCGAGTGAAATGGTGGTGGAGTGAGATTAGAGGAGAGAGGTGGGAGAGTGTGTGGAGAAGAGTGAGACGAGAGAGAGAGAGAGGGAGAGTAGGGCACGCGGAGGGCAGTCGAGTGAGAAGAGAGGGGAACACGTCCTTGCTTTCAACGTCACCGACGGCTGCCGATGTAATTACGAAAGACATCGAGGCGAGCCGCCCTCGATGCGAGATGCGTATCGCGTGAGCATCTTTGGCCACGGTGACGCAGAGTGGACGTCGTGATCAGACGGTGTCACACGGCCCGAGATCGCCCGCTCGCCCGCTCGCCCGCTCCATGTCGAGAGCTAAGCCTCAGCTGTTTTTTTTTTCCTGACGCCTCCAGGCTTGGAAAAACGAGCTGCCGCCGCAGCAGCTGTCCCGTCCATTTGGGCAAGATGCAGACATAACACGTTGGGAATTTACCCGGAATTAAGGAACTTGGCCAGACGAGCGAAAACAACCTGTTCTAGGAAAAAAAAAGGAAGTGTTTGCTCGATTTATATTCTTCTGATTTACAATCTCCTCATTATGCTGCAACAATGTCGCGGTGAGGTAATATTTGATAACGGGGCCCGCTATAAAACATGAATGGGAATTTACACGATTGTGTCTTTAAAGTGAAGACTGAAATGCATTGAGGACAAAAGATTCCCGAGGTGAAATGATCAGAGTGTGACTTCGCATTGCGACTGAAACTTTAAACTTGGAACACAAAATCCCCAATTAGTGCACAGTTGTATTTGACCTTGGGTGGCCTTACTGCATTCATCGGGGGGGGGGGGGAAGGAAAATAAGGCGCTGTTGGCAAAAACGCGGTTGTTGTTACACGGAGTGTTCTTACCCTTGTTTCAGTCGAGAGGGTGAACAGGTGAATTGGGTCGCGGGGAGAGTCTGTCTGTGAAAGGAGAGCAGACATCCGCTCGTGCGTTTCCAGTCGGTAAATTTCCATGGAAAGTGTTACGTTAATCGGGAAGTGCCAGGGCATCTGCACAAAGGAACAAAAAAATACGATTAAGGCAAGCCCTGAAATTCTATCTTTGCGCCAGGGTCTGTTTTAATCGCCGTCTACATCCGTGGGAGCGTTACCGCAGGTCCCACGGAGCAGAGAGGAAGATTGGAGGGGAAGGGATTGGGGGATTGGCTGTACGGGAGTTTGACCAAATTGCTTTGTGGTGCGGCTGGTGACGTTGTCTTTAGCACTCATTGGGACGCGTTTGTGGTCGGGTGAAGCCTGCCTCTAAAGCGTAGTTGCTTGCCATGTATACGCACTTACAGGTAGAGGTGACTTCTGTGACGGATCCCGACAAATCTTGTTTTAACCTAAGCATCGACGATAACAAAACACGCGGTACATTTTTTCTAAAAGTAAGTTTTCGTGTTTTGCAGCATTAGGGGTAGGTCAGAAGTGACGTATCATGCGATGCTAAGCGACGTGCCATGTTATGCTTTTTCTAGGTAAAGCAAGACCTTTTGCATGAGCTACTGCTCATCGCCATAGGTGCAATCGTTGGTACAGGGTAAATAAAATGTGCTCAATTGCATCAGCGTCGTAGGTTGTTCAGAGTTTGCTCTTGCAGCGGTCACTATGATTAATATTGACAGCACTATTTATATGCGATACAAATATTCAGTTTATGACAAGGTAAGGGTGCATTGAGACCAGAAGTCTATCTTTCAAGGCAGATCTGGGTAGAAATAAATATCTCATGACAAGAAACGGTACAGAACCGCCTCGGGCCGAAAATGTTATAACAGTGACGTCGGCATTCTCAATGCAAACAAATTTGAAGTGCAGAGTTAATCGAACTGACACAAGATAAATACAAGTAAAGCATGATACGCAGAGTAAAAACAGGATCCACAATGTAAACAACAGCAACAACCACAACAAACAGTATCAAGGTTAAAACACAAAACAAAATCAACTCATACTCTTTGCTTTTTTCGGTAAAGTCACGTAGATAGAAAATTAATGGGTCACGACGTTTCGATCGCAACACAAGCAACCGTCATCAGGTGAGCAGCTATCTCTCCTGCGTCAGCGGTTCTCCTGCTGTGTTTGTCTCACCTGATGACGGTTGCTTGTGTTGCGATCGAAACGTCGTGATCTATTAATTTTCTACCTACGTGACTTTACGGAAAGAACCAAAGAGTGTGGATTCCTGCAGTCACGAAAGCTTAAAATCAAGATTAAAATCAACCCGGTTCATTGTTGCATTTTAATAATGAAGACTCAACTGTCAGAATGAGTGGCTCGAAATTCTTAAGGTTCCAAGTTCAAAATCCTGGTTTGGATGTTGACTCAGCCCGTCATCCCTCCAGGGTTCAACAAAATGAGTGCCACTCTGAAGGAAAGTCAACAGTGATTCTCCTGTGGATAGACTCGCTCACGCCATAGGAACGTAGATTGTCCACCACTGGCTCAGGGCTGTAAACAGGAGATAAACATCACCGCAGTGCTCATTTTGAGCAAGAAAATTGCTTGTGGAGCTGATGGATTTATTTTTTAGATTAAGCTTTCACGTGCGAGTTAGGGCTTATTAAATTCGCCACTCGTGATGCTGTTGTCATAGCCACACGTGAATCATTAATCCTGATACGGCACTGTTATCCAAGTTGGAAAAAAAACAACATATATAGTGCCTCATTATATGCTGGAGAAACGTTTGTTGACAGCAAATGAATGTAGGAAGAGTTCCAGAAAAAGTTTATTGTTCACCAACATGAGTGTTTGAGCGGTGTTTTAATCGTCTCTTCTATGGCAGCTTGATGTCAAAGATTACACTGTGTTTGTGGCTTACATTTTCAAACAGTAGTTTAAACATCATTTTTAACACTCAACATATTTTCCATGTACTCACACCTCCGATTAGCATGGTTGGCTATGTACGGTGTAAAATAAGTTCATCATACAATTATAACTATTTGATTTCAACAACAAACGACACCTTCCTGTAATAATAGCAATAAATTCGAGTCAATTCACTGCTGGATTAATTCTTCTCCATGCCATCTTGGTCACGTTTGCTTGACCATACTTCACCACTATGGTCACTATGGGCTTGTGAAGGGGGGTGGGGGGGGGAGCCTAGGACCGGTTCAGATATCACTTCGCCACTGATGTTCGCCGTGACTGGGAATCGAATTCGCATCACATTGGGTTCATGACGCAGCGTACTAATCACTGCTCCACCACTCCCCTCCAGTACGGTAATGTACCGATTAGCAAGGTTTGCTACGCACGGTGTGAAAGAAGTTCAACACATATACCATTGACTACAATGGAAAAATATTTTCTTAAAGTAGAAATGCAGTTATTCAATCAGGAATTCCTGTAAACAACCCAATTTTATGCCACATTACATGTCTTCCGTATCTGTATCAAATAGCACTCATGGCTAAACCAACGTTTAAACATAAACAAGGGAATGCTTCTCGGCAGCCTGTCAATCGCATACAAATTGCCAAACCTCGTGTGCGGCTAAAGCTCTTTCCATTTAAACGAAATTGCTCATCTGATGCATAAATCGGAAGCACTTAGCGCCGTTTAGGGAAGCCTGATTATTACAGGAGCACAGCGGGCACGGGAGCGCTCTCTGTGTGCCGCTCGGAATGGATCAGTTTCTGTGATCCGACGGGAGGGATTCCGTGTGCGGTAATTAGCTTAATTGCGCAATATTGACGAGGGTTTTCACGGTATAGGCCTCGCGATCTCGCTCATCACTGCCGGAGTTGGGTGAGCTTATTTTGCGATTTGCGTCGAAGTACCGGGCAAATTGACCGCGCGGCGTACGACGCTCTGGTGGCTTGTGTGGCCATCACGCAAGCACATAACCTTGACGGCTCCCACCTCCCAGCCTTGACAATAACATTGCTAGACCGCATTGTAAATGATAATAATAATACGATTACAAGTTGTTATCATTGCCAAGGATATGCGCTCTTAGGAATTGACCGTTTTGAACGCAGAGATGAGACCAGCAGTTCCAGAGTGTAGACCATAAACGATTATAATTTTCACTTTCTTGGTCATGGGGGTACTTTGACCATACTTCACCATGTCGGTCACTGTGGGTTGGTGAAGGGGGGGGGGGGGGCGGGACTGGTTCAGATATCACTTTGCACCCATATCAGGCGTGACCTTGAATCAAACTCAATTTGAAGAGTTCATAGCTGGAGAATTAACCATGTCATCGCTGCCTCCTTTGTTCACCTAGTTGAAAATAAATTCCTGTTATTGCGAGTGACTGCCAGCATTGTGGACATGACACCCGATGGTTATCGTCGAGTGCTAGCTTTGAAAAAAATAAATGTCGTAAGTGCCCATACTACCGGCCTGCCCCGGTTCTTGTCATAATTTACCGGTGGTGGTTATATAACGACGTGTGACGTTTCTAAAGGCAAGGTGGTTAGTGCGATGCTCTGTGAGCCTGCCAAACTGTGTTCAATTCCTAGCGATGACGAATATCAGTTGGGGGGTGTTGGGGGGGGGGGGTGTTTCACTACTATACTTCACAGTGCTGGTCAGCTCAGGTTGGTGAAGGGGGGAGAGGGCAGGACCGTTTCTGATATCACCTGCCACTGACATATTAGCCGTGTTAGAGAAAATGAACTCGGGTGTCCGTATTCATTGTGCAGTGCGGCATACCACTGAACCCAACGACGGTTTGCGCATACACCAGTCAATTCTCACACGGACATCTTGTGGATTTCAAAAGTCTGTTGCAATCTAGAATTCTGGAACATTAAAATTACATCTCGGAGAAACAGAGACTGCCCCAGTATGTCTCCAAGATGAGTCTAAATGTCTCAAGAGGGGGCAAAGCTGAGAGGGCAGGGTGGCGTGCAGCTGAGCATTGGGTATGCGTGACTCATCGGAGCTGGGCGTGAGTGACATTTGGCATCGGCTCTTTTCGTTTATTCTCCAAAGTCCGTACATGTCCAGCGTGGAAGACAAATGGACCTCTGCCATTACGGCTGACATAACTCTCCCCGTAGTATTTCGTCAGATATTGGCAGAGATAATGCATTGACGTTGCCGCTTTCACTCACGTTTATCTGGGCAGGATGAAAATTGAATATTGAATAAAGCAAGTCCTGTGTATGTCTTGAAAATGTTCTGGAAGGGCAGTCTTGAGTGAGTTAAGCTAGTGCATGGCGATGATGTGATCATTTTTCATGCAGCGTGTTTACTTGGGTCTATATTAAACAGCATTTGTAATTCATTATTATTAGCATTTTAATTTTTTTTGTTGGTTACTGTTCTCAAAAACATCACTCCTTGATACCTCAACCCATGTTGTAGTCTATTGCAAGTTGCAATTTATTATTGCGATTTTATTAGCACCATAATGACTGTTTTGCATTTATTTTCACGTCCTCCCTCGCCCGGCTTGACTTGCTAATCCCCTCGCATTGTCGTTCCCATTATGATCCTCGGTAAATTCAAGAATCGTATTAACTCTTGTCTATGTCACCTTCAAGAGCGCTGTTTGTTGCTGGCCACTCGAAAATTTTCGGCTTTTGGGCCCTGTGCTCGGTAACTGATTCTAAAGAATAAAAAAAACAATGCCAATCTTAGCAAAGCAAACCACGTGTTGAATAATACTTAAATTGTTAGGTTGGTAAATGGAGCACTTATCAATTTTGTGTTTGATTTTACACGTCAACAACTTTTTTTTATTACCAATGAAAACACGCGATAGATTTTTATTGCGGTATTTTTATATTTTATATATTTTTTATCGTATGACTTTGTTCACCGGTCCAAGCGGGCAGGGCATCTCGTTTATTTGGTGCCACGTTCATGAACGTGCATCGTTTGTGATCCGCATTTCACAGCAGAGGCACCTTGACGTATCATTAACTGGAAGCCACCACCGGATTCTACATCTCGGCAAACGTGCATCTGTTAGGGCATTTGCATATGAGTTGGCCAGATGGCTCATGGGTGAGAAAGCTGAGCTGGCACTGCTGAGATCCAGGGCTCTGATCTGAGTTCTCATGTGTCGTGAGTTGATGATGTCAGCTCGGTCACCGATTAATGCACAAATACATACTCAAATTTTTTAGTGGTCTTTTACTTAATTTGGCAAAAATTACAGCGCTTGCACTTAAAAAACATTTTGGTTTGATTGACATGCAATTGTGACCCTCTTTTGCGAGGCACGGAGAAGGTGTGCCCCTAGTGTGCATGGCTTGAATTAATCTCGAAAAAGTAGCTCCGTGATGTCTATTTGTGCAGCTATTCTGACACAGGGTGGTGCACTCCTCGCTGCAGAGCTCTGAGTGGACATTTTCTTAATTCCACGACGAAATTTAACCAATGGCACAATTTGAATATTGTGAGATTTTTTTTTTACACGGTGATGACGTACGCCTTGAGAACATGTTGCACTTCATGGGTGTGAAGCGACGTTTGTTTGGGACCTTGTTTACGTCTGCACGAATCCTCGCGTGCTGCGTGGAATCAATAGGAGCCCATTAGCCTAATGGAATGCCGATGGTATTAATGCGTTGGCTGGAAGATGGGGCCCGCGTTATTGGCTCGGCTTTCTTCCAGTGCCATTATCTGGGTCACATTATCGGAGCGGGTCTTCACGGTTCAAATTAGGGTGCAGTGATTCGTTTTCCACGCTTGAGTTGGCAATGCGGAGCGAAGGGAAAGCCTTGCGGTGGTTTCATTTTTCATCTTCCGCCTTCCCGCGATCGTGTGGGCCACATGTGCTGGTGTTTGTTAATAATGCGTCGTGTTAGGGAGGTTTATGTTCGGACAAAAACAACTGTGATCCCCACCGCATATCTCGAACAGAAACTGGATCTGTGTTGATTCCCAATTTTATTGAACTGGTGAGGATAAGTCACGCTGCATGTGCAGGATTACACTGGGTGTGCCATGTGTGTGTGCGTGCGCACACTTTATTTTAATATGGGAGGGGTGATGCAGTGGATTACGCGCTGTGTTATGAACCCAGCAACCCGAGTTTTCTTCCTGGCCACAGCTAATATCAGTGGGGAGGAATATATGAGCCTGTACTGGCCCGTCTTCAAAGAGTATTTTGTGCAGTGTACAAATATCAGGGGAAACAAAGGCAGCCTGGCATAATGCTGGCCACACCACTTCTTCACGCACCATGCCAGCATTAATAGATGCTCACTGACAGCACTCTCCCCCATAGTTTATTTACGTAAAAAAAAAGAAATAATTGTCTTTCTTGCAATGAAATTATGAGTGTGTTGTCTACAATTTGGTTATCTGGTCATCTCCAAGGCCTGAGATGATGTGCTGCAACCCTCGTGTGGATAACGAAGTCTCCTGAAGTGACTTTACGAGTTCGTTCTAAGCTGTCATCTTCCAGGGTCATTTTCTGAGACAAAGTGGTGCATTGCTCGCTGTGAGAGTTTCGAATGGAATTTTCTTCATCTTGTGACATGTGACATCCAAGAAGAAAAAATCAGATGTATTTTTCAAACTTGAGCCGAGGAGCATGCTCGCACTCATGTCGAATAGCGGTTACAAGATTCCTTTTTTCACTAGGTGTAGATCCCACAGGGCTTTCTCACGAAGGGATTCTGACCTTCAAGGCCCTTTTAAATATTTCATGGATACATGAAACACGATAATACGATTTATGCCGAGGAAAGAAGCGCGTACGAATGCACAGAAATCTTTAACACGTGGTATCAATGCTTATTATTCATTTAGTGGCATGCAAAATTGATGGACAAATCATATCGGTGATGTGGTGCCAGTGAATTAATGTTTACACGTTAGCTGAGAGTGGAGCTAGATGCATTCCTAAGTGCTTCTTGCTTGTTGTTTTGAAGGGACACCCTATGCATTCTCACCTTTCAGTGGCCGCCGCTCAATGCCTGCCACGAGTAACCGGTAGCTCGTCATTTAGGGCCCAGTGGGGGCCTGGCACCAATCGTGAAAAAAATAAAAAGTAAAAAAAAACCTTCGGAAATACCGGCTCATCGTAATGATTCTAAACTGCATGCACCATGCCCGTCCCCAAATAAGTTCCCATGCAGGCGCTCGGTGGATTATTACATCGTCAGATTGTGAGAGGTTGGCTTTGGGAGGCCTTCATCCATCAGTGCATTGACCCTGGCTGATGATGACACACTCCATCCCTCCTCTTTCACTGCCCCCCCCCCCACTTTCCTCACCTCTGTGGGGTTCCAAGCCCCACAAATATAATTACCCACCGGCCACCCCGTCTGCCACACCTCACAAAAATGTTTCAGAAATGTTATGTAGACTGAGTAATTTATTGCGTCAAAGGAGTTTGGACATTGCTTGCCGAAGCACACCAGGGTTTAGTGGCAATAATGTTGGATGCCAGCCCTGCTCCTGCAATGTAAATATAGCATATAAAAATAAAACGTGTTTACCGACCTCATTGGCCAATGGGCTTGCATTGCTTTATTGACATCCGTTTTCTGCTTTGTTTAACAGTTGTAATGGAAAATATTAACCTTGAAGTCCTAACGGAGTGAACGTTGATTTTTCTTGGTTTCTCGTTGTTTATTTTTATCCCATTCTATCTCGTTAAAAGAAAAATTTGTTGACGCTTTCTGATATACCCTCACCGGTGAAGCTACACTCAGTCTGTTTCCTTTTCCATAGAGACACATGACACCGCAACCTGGGGTTACATCGACTGTACCTCTCTGACCTCTTTATGTGCTATGAAGAAGGGCTATTGTATACTTTTTCTTGTTAAGGCCACATTGTTATTTTTTGATGGATGTGTCGATTTTTTGTGTGCTATTAGTGCCCGTGCACCACTGTCCACGCGGTGTCACCAACAAAGAATTTAATTGCGTCTCATTTTAAATACACACACATAAATGAATAAATCTTACGTTTTAACAATCATTTAGTAAGCAATGCACATAAGGCCGAGTGAAGACCACGCATTCCGGTGATTTAGCATGGCAATGGTCACCGTACGGAGCCCCTCCCTCCTCCGTCTCTGCAATCCTTCTCGGTAGACGATGATTGCTGCTCTCTCCCACTCCTGGCTTAACGCGGCGCGGTCGATGGCTCTGCGATGCCCCCCCCCCCCGCCCACCGCCATCGCCCCATCACCTTTTAAGGCCGCTTGCCCCTTTTTTTTGTCCGTCCGTGCGACGCGGGCAGGCTTGGAAGAAGCGCTGGTTCGTCCTGCGCAGCGGCCGCCTGAGCGGGGACGCGGACGTGCTCGAGTATTACAAGAGCGAGAGCGCCCGCAAGCCCATCCGCATCATCAACCTCAACCTGTGCGAGCAGGTACCCGGCGCCGGCGCAACGCGGGGGCATCGTGCGCTTTCCAACACGCTTCTGCGGCCGTCTGGAACGCTCTTACCTCCAACGTTAGGAAGCCACTGGGGCTATGCACTTTTAAATATAGATTGAAAACTCATTTCTTTAGAACTGATTTTTGTGTGTGTTTAGTTTGTTGTCCTTCCCCCACACCTCGGATTAGCACGGTTGGCTATGTACGGTGCGAAAGAAGTTCAACATAATACATACGAAGGATAAGGAGCCTTGCACTCCGAGAGTGGCCTCTGGAATAGAGCAAAACGTACTGGTGCAACTTGCAATGAATCGATTGACTTGTACGCTTGGAGTGCATGCATTGGATGATGCGTTTAGGAGTGGATTACCGTATTTTTTAATTTGACGAATACATTTTAAAGAGAAAGATACCCCCGTATAGTCTTTACAGACTGTTTGGGAAAGTGCTGTTAGCGAGTTCCTATGAAGTCCAACACCGCCTTTGGACGCCTTTATCTCCCCAGTGCTGATATTTATAACACGACACCAGGTACTCATTTAACGCTGAGTCGACCTCAGGGAGGCCCAGGACCGGTTCAGATATTCGTCACCGATGTTGGCCATGAGCGGGAATTGAACTCGGGTTGCCAGGTTCGTAGCGCAGCGTGCAATCCGCTGCACTACCGCTCCCCACACATTCATGCATGCACACATATACACACACCCAACGATGTGCTTGCACACACGCATCTAGATGTGACCCATGTATACGCGAATGCACGTGCAGATAACAGGATGAAGACCTCTCAATTAGCCATATAGATTTGTGTGGCTGGTGCTGTTCACAAGTGGCTATTAATGCTGGCAAGGCGCATGCGTGGGTGGCGTGCGACCAATAACATCTTCTGCCGGCTGCCTCTTCGGTGTCTATTTTAATAATGAGACCAGGACTCAAAATATTGTGCATGGCCAGGAATACAATGTGGATCGCTGGGATCGTGAAGCGCTGGGACCACCCAACACCACCTACTTTACTTCACACAAGCGCACGAGAGAATGGACAACCCGACGACTGGTTGCATGACCCTCAATTTCAGCCAGTTTTCTTGGAGTGGACGGTTCAGTCCAGTCCCCGCTACAGCCGCCCGCCCGCCCGTTGGCTTCTGTGCATGCGATTTTGCTGATGGGTTCACCCGCATGTGTTCTCAGGTGGACTCAGGCCTCACGTTCGATCGCAAGGAGTTTGAGAAGAGCTACATCTTCGATCTGCGCACCATCGATCGCACCTTCTACCTGGTGGCCGACAGTGAGCACGACATGAATAAGTGGGTGCGCTGCATCTGCGACGTCTGCGGATTCAACCCCACAGACAGCGATGGTAAATCAACGCTCGGTCGCCTCCACCATCACCACTATCAGCACTTAACTTTCCACTACCAGCACCACCACTAATACCCAGCCCTCTCATCACTACCGTCACCACTGTCATCACCACCTTCTTGTGAATACTAAATATGTGGGCATTTTCAACTTACATCGCCGGAATTGATTTCTTTGACACACGGAACACCCCTGTCATTATCCTCATAATCTGTAGCAGCAGCAACGTCTCATTGTGTCACTTTGCAAGAGGACAGGCACATGAAAAGGCATAATTTCATTGGGTAAATCGATTCCTACGCTCACTATGAATAAAATCGTTCCTATAAGCAACGATTGTTGACTTGAAACTTTTGTGACTGCAGGAATTCATATTCTTGGTTCTTTCGGTAAAGTCACGTAGAAAATAAAATAAAAATAACATAAAGACCGCTTGTGTTGCGATCGAAACGTCGTGGGGGTTTTTTGCTTTTATTATTTTCAAGGTATTATTATTTTTTAATTTAAATTTATTACCTGTTATTTTTATTGAATTTTCTATCTACGTGACTTTACGAAAAGAACCAAGAATAGGGTTTATATGATTCATGTTTTGCACTGTCTATGTTTATCTCATATAAATATTGTTATTACGGATGATGCAAAAATCTGTTTGTTTGATTATTACCCATTGCAAAGAGCACATAAATGTAAACACGAACTAGAGTGGATATTTGATAGTAAGCACTGTTTGTCTAAATATATTACAAGATGTTGACAAATGTCTTCCCGAGGCCACTTTATAATCATGTGCTCAGGGTATATTATGGCCGATGAAAGCTCTTTGCGCTCTGCGTAGGGAATTTGTGCGCAAACCGCAAGGTAGGAGAATGAGGAGTCACTTTTCATTACTTCCCGCTGACAGATGCATTTGCTTGGCAGAGAAAGGCGCACGGTTTGAATAAAAATCAATGGCAATCGGGCACATTGTTTATATATCGCATGACGCCCTGAGTCACGAAAAATAGCTATCGCTAACTACGAATCCATTCCGCGAGCAGGTGGCAATTTTACTTACATCACCGTGATCACGCGGCTTTCATATCAAGTGCGCAGCTCGTGCGCAGCGTGCGGTTAGGGGAATGAGAATGACACGGTCATGATTTAAGTAACAGATGCTTGTTGGCCTGGGACGTTTCCTGCTGTCCGTAATGACGGTGATAATAATGATGATGAGATTGTGCGCGCGGCAATGTGAAGGAACAACTTGCGGTTGGATCACCCTGAATGCACTCGGTCTTGTCAGTTAAAGGTTGAGCCTGAAGCTAATTGGTTGAGCCTGGTGAGTACTCGAATGGGTCACTACCGGGGGGCGCTTGCCAGGTGTTGTAGGCATGGGGCTATGAGGAGCCCAGAAGAAGTCAGCGCTGAGTGTCACCCTCTTATATTTGCACGGTGGGTGAATCACTCATGATTCTAAACGTCACAAGGCAGGATCCTCCTGAAACAGGTGCCTTGTAACTCGTGTGATTTTCTTCGTTTAATGTTAGGCGCAGTTATTACATTGGTATATTCAGCTCAGGATTTAAGCATTCATTTCTAAGGATTACATTTAAGAATGTATAGTTACTGTCGAGTGTTTGCGTCAAGGGTGTATCAAGCCAACGTTATTTACTTTTTTACGAATAAAAATGAACCCCGTAGCGTGTAGAGTTTCAGAGGAGTTCACGACGTCACACACATTTAGACCTACTCGGTTAATTTGTTTTTATTTTACCGGATAAGAGTGTGCCGCTGTCAGTTTACACTCCGACGGTGGGATGGGATTTTGTTCTTGTGAGAGGTTCGGTGTCCGTTTCGGCTGTTGGGGCTCTGCGATGATTTTGTTTATTGGTGTGGAGTAGAAGCAGCAGTCTGGCGAGCGAATAATGTAGGACACATTATGCATGCAAAAACCACCTCGCAACTCCGTTTTGCAGATGATGTTGATGGAGACCCTGAGACGTGGATTTGAATATGCTTTGAAAAGGTTTGCAAAAACACAATTTTCATTGGATGCCTCATGGGGGTTAGGTTGCCAAGTTAAAATAAACTGCAGTTTTCATTGTCAATACCGTCCGTAATTTATTCGACACTTTATGATTCATGGCATATTTTAGTCAATAAGAATGCACAATAATGTTTTGCCTTTTGTCAATCCATTGCTGGATGAAGGCCTTCCCCATGGTGTGTCGCTCATGATGGTTGTTTGACTTCACCACACTAGTCCAGTGCATGCCAATTGGCAAAGAGGGGTGCCCAGGACCGGTTCAGATATACCTCACCGTGCGCTAACCACTGCACCACGGCTCCCCCCTCACCCCCCGCCCCTTTAGTCCTATTATGAGATATTTCAAGTTTATGTTTGTACATACGAGTGATATTTGTCAGTGTTTTCAGTAAGTCTTAGCGCTTGTATATGGATGGTGTGATGGGGGGCGTGGGGGGGGGGTCGATCACGTGGCTTGAAAGGCACCGCAGCCTGGGCCTGCCTTTGTAATTAAGGTTGCTGAGCCTTCCTGCAGACACAGACACGAGCCTGACCGGAACGTCGCAATTTTATCCGTGCAAATATCCGTGCCACATTGCCAAGCTTCTCCCCTTTCTCAGGGAATTTGCGAACGCGGGGAAAAAAAAAAAACTAGTCCTCCAAAAATTAACCTCATTGTTTCCGCACTGTGCCACACGTCGACAATTAAATTTAGCGGGTTTGGACTGAGCGGCCGCGGTCAAAGTTGCCGTCGGTTCACTCCTCCTTTTTTTCCGGTGTTTGCCCGGAGCTCATTTATGTTACGCCGATGAAACTGTGACGGCACGGAGTTTTTGCAGCCTCTCCAGCCGTTGCTTGAGATTTTAAATGTTTGCTGTGACGGCCAAGTCATTTATGAAATGCGTTATAGTGATTTTCTTCCATTTGCTTATTATCGTTTGATTTTCTAAAACGCGAACAAATAAATTAGTTGTTAGAAAAAATATATCTATAAATTAATATTCTTTGGACAGGCTAAGGGCTAAATAAATGAATAGCAATCGATTCTGGGCCTTTCATAAGTCAACTCAGCATTACAGGAGCACTTGCTGTTGTGTATTAACCTCAACAAGCCCAGTGCCGGCCTCACCACTGTGTGTCGTGATGGTCTTAATAGATGCTCTCGAATATAACTTATCCCAACAAGCATATAGAGGGTAAACAGGAGGTCTTTGTCTTTTCTACGTACAGTTCTGGTAATTGGTAGTGGGATATATATATTGGCTTAACAGCACAAATAGGATCTGAAAATGTTGTTATGAAACATCCGGCACCTTTTGAAACCTAGAGAGGAAAATGGGAATGGGCAGAGGTTAATTATGTAAAATGTTGTTCTCTGTTAGGGGGCTCAAATGTAAAAAAAAACCCCATTGTTATTCATTAAATAATTAATGAATGGGCACGTGGGAATTCACACCACTCACTCACAACTGTTTATATGTACAAGCAGTATGCTGCCTATGGGTAAATAAATAATAAATGCGTATCTACATACCTTTGTTGATCCACTCATAGATGAAGGCGTCCCCCATACCATATTGGTCATGCGAGTTTTTTGGCCATGCTTCACCATGCTTGTGAGTGTGCGTTGGCGATAGGAGGGAGGCCCCATGGCCAGTTCAGATATCCCTCACCATTCGTGTTTGCCACGGGTGGGAATCGAACTCAGGTCGCCGTGTTCATATTGCAGCACGCTAACTACTGCGGCACCGCTTCACCCTGTAACATGTGCAAAAGATAATAACATTATTACCTTCTTATTCAACACATGAACATCGTCGTAAAAAAAAACACTACAAAAACATTCAATTTCAATCTGCAGGCGCACCGAGAGCCCAGAGGTTAAATAGGGGTGTAATAAGACTTCCTTTGCCCCAATTCCCAGTGGGCTACTTTTCATGCTTCATTTGAATTGAGATGAAAAATCTGTCGGAGCATCAGCGGAACACAGGCAGCAACGTTAACATGAGTCTCCAGCAAGCCCAAAGGTTGCCGCCGCCGCCGCCGCTGCGGCTGCGGCAGAGGGGGCTCAGAAGCGGCAGCGCTCGCGTCAGATTTCAAGGTTTTTTGCCGATTGGAAACCCAATCTCGCCCCCCCCCTCCCCCACCCCCCATAGTCCGTGCCGCACATCGTTTGATTGGCTTGAAATCCAATTTGAGGGATGGCGTTGAGACTGAGAAGGGACGGTTCGTATAATAACGCAATTTCGCAGTCTGGATACAAATTTTCTGACAAAAAAAAAACCCTCCCCGCTGTGAGCTGTCCAAGGACATGCGTCATCGTGGACAGTCAGCTCTCCTGCATGCCCTACTTTTCTGTTTTCCCATAAACCACAATTGGTTTATTTTATAGGGCATCATGAGAACTTGTCGGTGGAGTACAACGTCTACCCTCGGTGGCGAGATGTTAACTACCTTGCTTGATATACAGGAGGCGTGGGTTCAATCCCGACCCTGATGCCTGTATATTTGGAGTTTGTGTGTCTCTCTCCCCGTGGTCACGTGGATTTTTCTCCAGGTCCTCCTGGTTTTCCCCCCCACATTTAGAAACATGCATTTAGAGTATTTGGCTGCTATAAATTTCCATGTGATAAGCCACTTTGTTGAACTATGATTTGTGGCCAGGTCGCTTCTGAAAAAGAGATATATATAGTTCAGCGGGCCTTATCTGGTAAAATAAAAATAGTTGTAGTTGTATAACTGTTTCTATTCGATGTTCACTCATCTAACCTTTAATACATCTGCCTATACCTGAGTCCTAAGTGACTCAGATATGCGACACTGTACTGTATTCATCACTTCTATTCAGGGAAGCTTTGGTAGTTGTTTAGGTCAACTGTTGATTATTTATAGTAATAAAAATGAGTACAGCTTTAATCCAATACTGTGTTAGTCATGGGGGTTATTTGATTATACAGGACTGATTCAGATATCTCCCAGCCCTCGTGTGAGTCATGGCTGGGAATCGAACCCAAGTCTCCAAGTGCAAAGTGTTGTGCATGAACCACTGGGCCACCGCTGTCCCGCCTTTGTAATTTAGTTGGAGGTGTTCCCCATTTTCCCATTTGGATCATGACACCAGCAAATCAGAATAAGCAGTCTCCTTTTGTAAAAACCAGACAGGGATAACGTCATCGGGCATTTAATGTTCAGTGTACAACACGCCCTGATCTTTGTCTAATGCCCTGCAGAATTAGCTAGCAATAGGTGCATTATACTATTCCACTTCGATGTAATATTGCAACCCTTGCATGTTGATTCATATTCACATTTTCCATAACGCTGTGGCAGTGCATTACCACACTTGCGTGTGATTTGTGTGCCTGCTTCATTGCCAGCGGTAATTGCGTCTGCGGGACTGCCAGCGTTTTTAAATCTATCACGTGTTGCTGTAAACAGTCTTGGTACTAAGATACACATTCATTTTCACTTTCACGAGTGCCTTTCACAAGGAAATTGTAGCCGATAAATCTAACAGGCATAACTTAAGACACGTGTGTCAACAGAGCATAATGATAATTAAAACATATTGAAATCGGTTTTAACATGACGATATCGAAATTTGAAAAATATTAAAACCGACGATAATTTGTTGACACGTGTATGGGCGAGCGCATGCTTTGGATTGGTTATGAGGCCAAAAGCAAAGCCCCATTCTCTCTCGCTGTATAGCAAATGCCAGCAATTTGCTAGACCTCAATGAATAACTCTGGACCACCATGGCAAGTAAACCCGATCAGCTGTGTTGTCATCGAGGTCTGATTTGTTTAATAACTTGGAGAGCCACCAACTGTACCTTGGCTTGCTTCGTGATCATCAGATGACCTTAGTGTTTATATTATTCAAGTGCCAAGTATTGACAACTGGCAGTTTGCCCAAAGTGAAATACTTCTTTGCATCTCAAACGCCTTCTAGTGAGGTCCCACTAGGATGAATATATACTTTTAACCACTTTTTAATCACGCACAACTTATTATTATTTTTATTTAAGAGGACACTGTGCCTACTGTGTGGTACGGTAATACAGACGTTGTACAAAATCACGTTTAAGCTCTTACTACTAAATTGCGTCTGGGAGAAAGTCTCTACAAAGTGTTGTCCATGTCCTTTTCGAGCACGCCCGTGTTTTTCACGGGCGTCGTTTGTGAAAAGAGAAGCAAAAGCAAAAAAACCCCATGACCTTAACATTGTTATTTTTCCCCTCAAATGTTTTTTCCCCCTCTTAAACGTAAACGCCGCTGGTGTGGGGTGGGGGGCGGTTGTGACAAAAATAAGCGACGTTGGTGGATAAATTCACCTTCCTGTTTTTTTTATATGTTGCTGTTGTTGAGGTGAGGATTTGATCGCGGTGGAAGGGCGGTTGGGGGCTGGGCGAGCACAGGGGGAGGGGGAGTGGGAGGAAAGTTTTGATGGAGGGGATCCTATCTTTGTCAATAATTACGTGGTTGCGAGGGGCAAATGTGGGGGGAAGGGGGGGTTGTTTTTAGACACCGCTACAGAACGGATTCTGTTGTAACGGCAGAACGGCGTTGGCGTGCGGTCTGTGTGTTTGTGTGAGTGTGTGCGAGGTGACACGGTCAGTGCGCTGTGCTACATCCCCAATGCCCTGAGTTCAGTCAATAAACACACACACACACTGCTGCGGCAACTGCTCTCTGAACCTGGCTTGAAGCTTCCATAGGTTAAATTAATATGATATTATACGATTCAGCCCTTTTTCAATGCACTGCCTACTAACCCCTTGGAACACGTTTAGAGTTTGCCTCGCTCGCTACTATCCGCATGTTTCTATATGCAATTGTTTTTTTTTTAATTCCTGGTAAGCTCCACTGAGCTACATAGCTCTTGTTTAGAAGCGACCTGGCCACAAATGATAGCTCAACGAAATAGCCGATCATGCGGCAATTTCTCACGGCTAAATGCTCAACACGCATGTTGATTCTAAATGTGGAGGGAAAGACAGGAGAACCCAGAGGAAAATCCACGCGAACCACGTGGAGAACATGCAAACTCAAAATATACGCGTGTCGGGGTCGGGATCGAACCCACGACCGCTTGCCCACCATGCAAGGTAGTTAACGTTTTGCCACCATGGCGGAAATGTTGCATACAGGAACTTAACAATGAAATAATAACCTACATTGCTTAGTCAGTCCGTTGCTGCATAAAGACCTCCCCATGCCATATCGGTCATGGGAGTTCTCTGGCCCATACTTCACCATGTTGGTTCGTGTCGGTTGGTGAAGGGTGGGGGGGGGGGCAGTCCCAGGGCTAATTCAGATATCACTTGCCACTGATATCAGCCGTGGACAGGAATCAAACTCGGGTTAATGAGTTCAAAGCCGGAGAACTGACCTTTGCATTACTGCTTCCGCTGGGTTCACCTAGTTTAAGATGAACTGGTATCGCGAGTGAATGCTAGCATTGAAGAAATGACAGCTGATGGTTATCGTCAAATGCTGGCTTGTAAAAACCTTAGAGAAGCGCCCACTGCCTTGGTTCTTGCTATCGTTTGCCAGAGGAAGGCATTAAGCGGAGTGTGAATTTTCGAATGGCCCAATGGTTAGTGGCACGCTCGGTGAATCTTGACAACCGAGTTTTATTCCTAGCAACGACCAGCGTCAGTGGTCTGCGATATCTGTGGCAGTCCTGGGCCCCCATCCTTCACCATCCTGCACTGACCAATGTAACCGAGTATAATCGAACAACCCCCATTACCGACTAACGACTTGGGGGGGGGGGGGGGGGGGTGGCCTTTACCCAACATTGGGTCGAGACGGCAGTGGCAGGACACACTGCATTCCCGATTTCTCGATGATATTTGCACACTGGCAACCCGTGCTTCGTGGCCAAATCTCCTTGCACTGATCCCAACGGGAAACGAGGCTCTCACGTGACCCCCACCTCGTTCTGTTTGGATACCCTACTGCGCTCGTGACTTGTTCATTCCTAAGCCAATGTCTGTGGGTATTATTATTATTCTTCCTTCATCGAGCGCATCCCGGACAAAAACAGGCACCCTCGCTCCGCCGGCCGGGGAGAGAAAAAACAACCCTGTTGAGCTTAGACAAACGCACCAGCCCAAGGATGGCCGATAATGTGACGGAGGGGAGAATTATGACTGACAACAAAGCATTAAACTATGCCTGGCTCCGAACCAGCATTGTAACTAGGGGTTGGCATATTGACCAAAAACCTAGTGCACTGTGACCACGCAGTTGTAAATCTTTGGGCGCTTGGCTCACGCGCGTTTTTTTTCCCTCCATGCTTTGTATGAAATTCGCAACATCCGAAAAATACACGACGCCAAGGTTAAAGGTCGGCGTAATCATTTTTTGCGAGGCGAGTTGCGGTTCGGAGCACGCTGCTTTGGCGGCGATGATGTGGGGGGGGGGGGGGGTGGGGGCGCTGCCTTGGCAGCAGTTATCTCCCAGCGCGTCTAGGGCGCCATAAACAGCGAGGCCAATCTGCTGCCGCAAAAAAAAAACGTAGCTTGAATAATGCAGGCCCGTCTCGGGGCCCGAAGGTCACATTGTGGGTGGCAGTGATGGCAGGAGTTGCGGTGACAGTCGGGGTAATGGCTTAATTTATTCTGCCTGCCTTTTGAACAAATGGGGAGAGTGTACGTGCGTGCACACCCGTGATCGATGCCTGAGCTCCCTTAGGAGAATTGGAGGAGAAAAAAAGACTTGCCATCAAGCAAAGCGGCGAGAGGGAGGGAATGGCACTGCCGGGATTGAGTGGGGAGTACGTGAGCGGTGAGGGGAGACGAGTGTGTGGGGCTTATTAACACCTGTGTCTCCCCAGCTTGCCCCGCAGTATTTATGTGCGAGCGGCATGCTTGCCTGCCTGCGTGCGTGTGCAGTCGTGGGCGAAAACACTCATGAAAATTGGCTGCTAAACCGTGTGGAGCTAATGGCGTCAATAATGAAGTACTCCAGTGGGCAATGGAAAATTTAGAGGCCGGTCCTTTGAACAGCGATGCATCTTGCTGCAGGGCAATTGTAGCCAAAAAAATACTGACCGGCATCGTTCAATTTTCGTTTAACTTTTGTTTGTATTTTTTGCTAAGAGGCTCTGACAGCCCCCATTTTAGTCGGCACATGGGTCAATGTTGTGAAAATGTTTGTGAGAATTTAAATGGGTGAACCTTGACTTCAAACATGGTCATGCTACCCGGGGACCACTAACACGACATGCAATTAGCATTAGGCGTATGGAACGCGCTGCTTCCTTATCAAGTTGTGCTAATTACAATTAAATGGTACCATTTGTGAAATGAGGGCATGTTAGATGTCTAATTGCTCCGTTTAACCCTTTAGTTGGGCACAGGGCAAGCTTTGCCACTGCTGGGACGAGTGCTGTTGGCAAGTGCCTATTAAGACCAACACGGCACACAACGAACTGGTTGGTATGGTCGGAAAAACGTGTACATCTTGCCATGTGTGAATGGCCTATGCTGATTTTGACCACACTGCACGAGGTACTTGCAGGAATCCCCAGGGCCGAGATGGCCACGGGTAGTTTGTACCATGGTTTGTTGATTCGATCCTGGATCACCGGGAATGTGGTGCGTTGTTGCGGGGCCACTCCTCAGTGCTTACTTCTCCATTTCACAAGCCAGACGCGGAATCGTACTCGTGCAAACATTACGCACGCGGTGATTCGCGAAGCACAATCTTTTCCGACTCCCCAAGAAATGTTGGCACGGAATGGTGCCTGTAAGAATAGTTAATTTTCGAGCGTGTATGTTGTATGGTTGGAATGGGGGCACAGTTGTAGCACACTGCACTATGACTCTGACGACTTGATTTCTGTTTCTGCCCATCACTAGCAGCAGTTTTTCTTGCTGTGGTTATCCCACCTGATGACGATTGCTTGTGTTACGATTGAAACGTCACGTGATCTATTATTTTTCTACCTACGTGACTTTACCGAAAGAACCAACGAGTATAGGCATTTAAATTGTTAAATAAACTTGTCCTCTGCCTCTTCTTCAGCAGCCGCCACTGACCAGCATGGGTAAGTTTGGTTAAGCAACCCCCATGACTAATACGGCGTTGGAGAGGTCTTCCTCCAGCAGTGGATTGATAGAGGGCCATACATTCCTAATTAACAATGCATTTACGTGTTGTATGTGGTTGTTTCATTCAGGCTGTGGATTCTGTACACACCACAAGGGCACAAAACAATCAATGATTGAATCGAATAATGACCCAGAATCACGAGAGTTAGTTGAATCTTGGGTGAAGTGAGTTCTCATGTTCCCCTACAAACACGGACACACACACATACGAACAGACACACACTCATAATAGCACTTAAAGGGAGCACCTCCCGTGGGCAACGCAGTCCAGAGGCGGTAAAGCCATTGGTTGAAGGGTTAACGATCCCAAGTGGGAATTAGCAATGGGCAGGCTACATTGCATATGGGGCAATCTCTTACAAAAAGTGGAGCGAAGGCTTGAAATGCCTGATGCAGTGAGAGGCGGGTCCGTAATAAATGCGCGCGGCACGTTAGCGATGCATGAAGGGCACAGGGCACCCCCCAGCTTTGGCAGAAAGGAGGGAGAGAGAGAGAGAGCGGGAGGGAGAAAAAGTGGTGCATTAGTGCATTAAAAAATCAACCACCCCACTGGGAGTTTAGAAAGGGAGGTGTGGGTTGTGGGGAGATGGGGCTGGGGTGGACATTGGCAGACTTGATGGATGTTGGGAGAGAGTAATCTGATTTTGAATTAAATATTTCCTCCAACTATTTACACACCCACGCACACGCGCACACACACACACAATTGCTTTTCCTAAAATTACCTTCTGTCTAGTTTTTTGGCAGAAGATTGATTGCGGTTTGCTTAGACGAGCTATCTTATGAGCAGCTTCGCACCTTTCTGTAACATTTTAGAGGAATTAATGCAGGCTTCGCAAATCGGCTCCATTCCTTATTTCCATCAAACTCGCCAGGGTCTGCGGTGCCGAATTGCAGGCAGGTCCAGATGAATGAAATCCATGTTAATGGCATTTTTCCACCAGTGTCACACACAGCCTGCCCCCCCCCCCGTTTCTTCGAGCCCCTCAAACTCTTCCAACACCGGCAATAGCAGCGGAGGGCAAATGTTTTTCAGGCTGCCCAGTTCCCTGGCTCGAATAATAAGCACCGTGTAATCACATTGGGCGAGGTAATGCCTTTTGAGGCCTAGCTTCTGGAATTTGAGTGACATGTGGCTGCTTCCGGGGCTGCCTCCCCGACTGAGTGGCCCGTATACCTCGAGCCGTACACACGTATTGCTCGCGCTGTCCCGTGCGTCACACCACCCACGCGGACTGCGCCCATCCATCCGTCTCGCTGTCCGTCCCTCCGTCTGTCATCCCTGTGCCCGTTAGTCCATTCGTCCGCGGGTTCATCCATCTATCCGTCGATTCGGCTGTCCAGGTGTCTGTCCGGCTGCCCCTCTTGTCCGTCCATTAAACCGTCCGTCCGCGAAATGTTTTCGTAGTATTTTCGTCTTTGTGCCTGACCTGCCCGGCTTCCTGAGTCGGAGGACGCAGGGCGGTGTCGGCCGCCACTTCCTCCCCCGTTGTAGTGGACACCGAGTGCGCCTGCCGCCGCTCGTCACCCCGTGCCGTCGGCGCGCTTTGATGATGATGATCATGACGATGGGTCCGTTACCCACCTCCCCCACCCCATCCCACACCCAGAGGGGATGCGCAGACGTGTGAAATGTGTGGCGGATGCCTCATGCGAGCAGGCGCGGGTCATGTGTTTGTGTTTAATCATCAACGTGCGATTACATTTTGTTCATTCCACGCTGACTCACGCATTGATATCTGTATGACCAAGGTGGTGTATTTATACATTGGAAGTCCTAAGTTGGTTACGTCATGTCATCCTAATGCACGGCCCTCGTTAAAGCCCTGTTTTGTTACGGGTTATTCATTGCTTGCTGGAGCAGCACTAGTTTAATTACATTAACATACATTTGGTGGATTGATGTAAGCAATACATATTTGCGTGTTCAGTTGAAATTACAAAACTGCGCGAGTATTACTCGTGCACTCATCTAGTCATATTTCGGGCGCTTAAAACAAACTGTCTGTAATGACACAACTTTCATTCAATAAATAACGTTTTTGTGCAGGGTTTAATATAAATGTAAAAAAATCGTACAGAGTATGCGCGCGAGGCACAAGCGGTAAGTCACACGCGGTAGGATATGGAGGTGGCCGCGTAGCTCCGAGGTCAAAGCGCTAGGCGAGCACTGTTTGAAAAGCCTGGGTTCAAGTCCAGGAGGATGAAGCACTCCGTGATTATAGCGGGTTCTCTAGGGTAGTTAGTTAACCGTGTCTGCAAAAAACAGCACTGATACCAAATTTTATTTTATACTTAATTTGACGAATTTCCAGCTCTGGATAATGAAATATATCAGTTTGACTGCCATCCGATGGATGTTACTCTCCCCCGTGTGGGATAAGAGGTCGCTTGAAGCGACTTCGGAAGTAGTGCTGCAATTTCCACTTCCGCTCATCGCTCTCAAACACAGTGCGTTGTCTGTAATGCTCTGTAAGAGATCCGAATGGATTTTTCACCTCGTCACATGATGCCGATATCACAATCGGAATAACGCTTCTGGGAAAAGAAAAAAAAAATAACAATCCGTGATTCAGCACAGAGCAAAGACGCACCATTGCCAGCGCGCGTCCATCCGGGCAGGAGCTCTGCCAGCGCTCGCCATCGGCACGGCGCTCGCCGAGTCCCCGTGAAACCGTGTATCATCGTCGGCGGCGACCCGTCTCGTGATGCACACATCAGTTTCCTGGCCGAGGAGGAGGGGTGGTGGGGCGGGCGGCCCAGATGTTGCCTCGCCTCTTCCCGCGTGCCCGCGCCGCTGCTCACACGCTTTCCTGTTTGCCGCGCGCCAACGGCTATTCATAGGCCGCCCGAGGTCCGCCACAATCGATTTTGCTGCCGTTTCCCGTGTGCCGCGCCGGAAGATTGAGCCCGAGGCTCGGGCCCCTGCGTCGTTTGCATCGCGAGGCCGTGACAAACGCGGCCTTCCTGCACCCGCCGCTTCTTGTTTGTGCGATTTTTTTTTTCTCTTCAATCCAACGAATGCTGAGCAGAGTTGTAATTCACAACTCGGGGACCGTGTAAGGAGGGGAGGGGGGGGGGGGGGCGGCGCCCTTGCTTACTGAGGATGCTGAACACCTTCCTGTGTGGTCGTTGGCCCCTTATCTATAGTTTCCACAGCTTGCCTTTATTGAGGCGCGCGCTTGATTGCTAACCCCTTATTATTGGGATTTATCTTGTTTTGTTTTAAATGTTGCTGTTGAAGCCCCCCACATCCGCTTGGATTGGCCCGTACGATAGATTCTCCCAGTAATATCTGTATTTATGTTAAGTAACAGAATTTTGATGAATTACATTGTCATGACATCCTGCGTAGCTGGAATCTGTCCTATACCTCATGGGACGGTCAAATGTAACGGTTCCGTCTCCGCTTGGCTCACCCACTTCATGCAGGCTGCTTCTCGAATGCCCTTCTGTGTCAGTACTTTATCGATAAGTCATCGTCAAGTTTCTTGACTATAACCATAAATTAAATAACAATAGATATTTCCAAATTAATGACACAAACATGGTACACTACACAGCGCAAAACCATTTGCATTTGCCGTGCGACTAAATGCAATTGTGTCTTAAACTGCCGTTGTGGCGTCTGGAGGAGGGATCAGGGGGTGGAAGTTAAGTTCCACACACGTGCACAAAGTTAAGTTCCACACACGTGCACAGAACACAGACCGCAAACAGCTGCTCACGCACAGCTGCGCGTTCACCATTGATGTCTCCTTTTAAAAACTGGGAGCTTTGATAGAGAATGTGGCTAATATTAGAAAGACATAGAGGCGAGGCTTTTATGGAATTGGTTCTCTGTTCATAACTGGTCCATCCCCATCCCGTCCCTCCTCCACGATGGGTTATTGTCCCTACTTCAGCCTGTTGTGACATTGGGATAAAGTGTGTAGGTACCTCGTGTCTGCCAATGCCAGCGTAGAAGAGCAGGCCAAGCATATCCTCGAGAGTGGCTTTCTAACCGGAGTCCTTTCCACCAGCAGTGGCGAGTACAAGTAATTCCAGGGCTGCACCTGTAGCTTTGTTACCTATTCACTGGACACAATGCTCAATCAATCAATCAATTTACAGCTTAAACTGAGATTCTCATGAACTAATTGACTTCTAACTTCGCAATGGAAACCCCCAAGGTGTGCCTAACAAACTCTTCACCCCCCCCCCCACCCTGCTGCTTTGGTGTGCAGACGTGGTGAAGGTGCAGCACCCGATGGCAGCACCGTCGGGCTTGGGCCCCCACGGCCACCACCCGGGCGGCCCGACGCCGGCGTCACTGCTCACGTCCCAGCCTCGGCTGCTGCCGCAGCGACAGGGCTTCTCCTCCCACGGGCCGCCGCCGCCGCCGCCGCCGTCGGCGGCCTTCTCGGGGTCCCTGCCGCCCATGTACGCTCCGCAGCCCGTGCCGGTGCCCCTAGCCGGCGGGGCCCGTGGGGACCGGTGGCCCACGGCCGTGCCGCCACCGCCACGCGGCTGCGCGGGAAGCGACGACGATCAGAGCGACTACCTGTGCCTCACGGAGTTTGAGACGGCCAAGCGCAGGTGCGGCAGAGTCCATTTCTCTCGCCCTCTCTTCTTTGTTTTGCTCGTGTCTTTTACTGCATCCTGGGGTATAAGTGGTGATGAGAGTCACAACGATATATGTGTTTTTTTGTTGTTGTAATTTCCCCCCGATTTTATAAAGGTTGTCGTATCACCGTCATGTCATGAGACTAAGAATCCATCCGCGTCTCTTGGAGAGCGGTGCAAACCCTTTGTGTATTAGAGAACAGTTCACGGAAGTGGATATCACAGAGCTACCTCTGAGATCCCTTCTTCAAATGACCTCCGGTGCACACAGTAGAGGACAGTACTTTCCCACCCATGCAGAATATGAGAGTAAAGATGATATTATAACTCTCAGAGCTGGATTGTATACAAATTAAGAACATAACAAATGTGATGTGATGTTATTTTGTGCAGCCATTGGTGACTGTGCTGAGACCATAGAACTTTTGAAACTGGTTTAATCACAAGTAGCAGCCGCGATTCAAACTGAGGATCCCAGCAACCTCTCTAAATAAACCAACGACAGCGTTGAGTGCAGCGTAGCAAGGCAAGGAACGTTTCGTTGTCCAAGCTGAAGCTGACAGAGATCTAAAGCAATCTAACTCAATAACCGCAACTTGTTAAAAGATTTTAGTAGGGGCCTGAGGTGGCCGGGTGGCTCAGAGGGCTCATAATGTCCGTGTCAGATCAGAAACACTTACGGTTAAAATTAGGTTATTAACTGTGGTTGTTGGTCTATGGTCTCGGTCCAAACACCAAAAACCAAACAAAATCCTATTTTTGAATTGACGTTGTCGCTTAATTCGCCTTGGCCCATGTTGATGGCTGAATGGTGTCAGTGTATCGGACGCGCTGTGGAGCACTTGCATTGTGGTCATCATGCTACATCGTGAAACCAACAACTAGCAGTTTGATTCCTGGCCACAACTAAACATCAGTGGCGAGTGATATCTGAACTGATTCTGACCCTCCCATTCCCCCACTCGTACTAACCAGCGTGATGAATTATGGGACTCCATGATCAACACGCCGTGGGAAGGCATTCATCCAGGAGTGTATTGACAAAGGGCTTTAATGAATACTGGTATACATGAGGTTGTGGTTTCAATCCCGACCCTGACGCCTGCTGTATATTTGGAGTTTGCGTTTTTCTCTGTGTCATCATCATCATCATCACGGGAACTAGGAGATGTTAACTACCTCGTCTGGTATACAGGAGGTCGTGGTTTCGATCCTAACCCTGACACCTGCTGTATATTTGGAGTTTACGGTGTCTCTCTCCCCATGGTGGCGTGGTTTTATCTCTAGCTCCTCCAGATTTCCTCTCCACTTTCAAAAACATGTGTTGAGAGTATTTGGCTGCTATAAATTTGCACATGATGAGCCACTTCGTTGAGCTGTTATTTGTGGCCAGGTTGCTTCTGAAAGAGAGCTATATAGCTTAGTGGACCTTACTTGGTAAAATAAAACAGTTGTATTTTAGCTTTTATGTTATAGTGGATTATGGACAAAGAATTACAGAGAACGAAGGAGCCATAGTAGAGTATGGGCTGAAAAAATGTGAGCAGGAGTGACTCCAGAAATCCTGGAGGAATCCTATGAGCTATGAAGCTCTTTTTCACAGATGTCCAGGAGGTCGTTCCGTTAGCCTGTTTCGAAGGCTCTTTCCCCGAGTCGATGTGATCCACTGCTGGCTGAAGTCGTTTCACGACGAGATTTATTTTACCCCCACGACTCAGGTCATACACACATTATTATCAAGGTTCATCGCAAAGCAAAACCTTTGTTTATTTCATGTTCGTCACGCATCTGTGAAGTTGATATTTTCACCTGTTTTGCTTTGTTGTGGGCATTGCTTGCAGTTTGCTGCACAAGGTTATCTAAAAGTGTATCCAACACAAGTCGTACATTTCCAGATTTGTAAAAAAAACACGTGGCGGGGACTTTTCGGTGTCCCAAGTTGAAATGTGATGATGCTCTAAATAAATTTTAGCTCAATTACCACAGCTCACATCATTCGGGTTTAGCTCACCACATTTGTTTGATGAGCCGAATCTTTTTAATATTGCGACATGTTTTGATGACTTTTTAAATTAAGAAATTTGGAGTTACGAGCGTATTACTAATTCTTGACATTTTGGTTGAGACTGTTAAGACCATAACATGGCACTGGAATTAATTGCAATGTTTACATATTTTTACCAATATAATTGAGTAATTGAGTTATTCCTGAACCATATAATTTACGACCCAATTCTTTTAAATTATTCATTAGTGTGTCACTAATTGTAATGAGTTTAACGAATTGTAATAAGTGCACTGATTTGGGAAAGCCCCACCACTCTCTATCCTGCCTTTTCCCAGGCTTTGCTGCCTGTGATCTTGTGAGTGCTGAATTCGCTCATAAAACATTAATTCAAATTCTTACTACAGGAGAGTATTTTCCAAACTCTACTGCGTACATTTTCCTGAATTCACTAGGAACAAATAGGCATTATTTGGACAGGTAGCGATGCTTTGATGCATCGATTAAATACAAACGAGACGGTGAAAGTTGGAGAATTTTTTTTTTAATTTAAATTTATCAACTTTCTGGGGGTGGTGGTGTGATGGCGGTGAATTATCAGCTTAGCATTAACCGTATGCTAACACCCAAACATTAATCCTATCATTACAAGGCCTGACGATTGTGCCATTTGGTTTTAATTGTGTAACTTGGCTTAATTAATGTTCATGGCTGGTCGGTGGCTACAGTGGTGCTGACAAACACAAATATTGTCTGCAGTTCTTTTGTTCATTCAGTTTTCCAGCGTTTTGTTACTTTTTTGTTGAATCTGAAATGTGCCTCATCAATGCTTGAGGCCAAGGGCCTCATTGTACGATCGCTCGTTAGCGGAGAGAAACCTGCCTCGTTGCATCAGCATGCGCCGTGCAGTTTTGAAACCGGGATTTACGATAATCGTGCGATAAGGCAGCATAATGGAGAGCTGCGCTAATGACTTTAATTAGTACATTAACGCATCACCGCCATTCCGGCGGATTTACACAAATTAACTTATACACAAGAGCTGTATGCGCTGAGTTTATTTAAATGCATTTTCTTTGTTTTTTTCACATGTAAGTGTTGCATTTAATATATATTTTTTTCACGTACAATTATTTCATATGCACATATTTTAACAAGTTCTTCTAAGTGCACTCTGCTACATTTTACGTGTAATTATTTTGCATCTCATTCGATACATTATAACAACTGCTTGCAATGCAAATTATTTCAGGTCTTTGTTATAAATCATTAAACATTCATTGGACATCATAATTTAAAGGGGAATTTTCCCCACTTTCATTACCTGTTTTATTTTCTGCAGAGCGACTCTGAACGGAATGGCATTTACCATCCCCTTGTACGCGTCTTAAACTTTGGCTGGTCATGTCGAGCGATCGCTTTTCATTTGCTGTCAAACTGCATGTGTTTGTTGAGTAAGTCTTTGCCCGTATAACCCCCTCGAAATGAATCAGCATCGCACGTGCCAATCCGGATGGGGCGTCAGATAGTGAGGAGGAAGAGGAGGAAGACGATTACCTTCTGCTGGAAGATTTTGTAACCAAAACCCCCGAGGGCCAAGCAGAGTGAGTTGCGAGGTCGCCGGTGGCTTGTGGCTCGCTTCCGTGTCTCCGTCCAACTGCTGCTCGCTCGCTTCACAATCCGTGGGCTTTCATAAAACTCGACGATTTACCAGGGCCCTCCGGAAAACCTGGGTTACTAACTGGCTGCAGTTTGTGGCGGGGGAGCGTGTTGCCCTACTTGCGCTGTGCACTCAGGAAATTGTTGAATTTTAAGGATTCCATAATTGGTTCCCGAAGGTCTGTTGCGTTTTTTGGGTTGTGCCGCATGTTTTTTTGCCACCGTTGGCACTCCATGTGCTGGGAGCTTCTTCAGGAATTGAGATGCTCCCAGCACCTGAAGTGAAGCGTTGGGCATCGTGCCCAAACAATACGTGGCACGACCCAAAAACGCATCGGGAAAAAAGCTATAAAGACAGCACGACCACGAAAACCCACTTGGCATGTCATGTTATTTGATTTTGGAGTGAGCGCTCCGAATTTACAAGCTGCTATTTGTTGTTGTGTGTGCAGCCTTGCCCCCCGTGTCTCAGTGCAAACGCTTCCCGGCCGCTTGACGGGGAAACACGCTACCAGCCTCAAATGCAGACTTTGTTTTTTTATATCTCGGTGGCCTTCAAGCGCGTGTTTGTCCCTCGCCCACTGCCTGCTGATGGTGTTGCGCTGTTGTCTCAGCGGTGGTGTCCAGCTAAGCCGATCTGACTCGTTGGTGTCACTGGCTCCAGCTTCATCGTTATTTGCAGTCTTTTCTGACAAATCTTTGTTCTCCGTTTGGTCTCTTTTAATTCCTGGTTGTTGCTGCTGTCGCTGCTCTCATTGAATAACTGTGTGGTTGGTCCTTTACGTGGAGTTATGAAATTATTTGTAAAATGGTGTCGCTAAAAGCCCAGCCCCCTCCAATGAGTAAAAAAAAAACCTATTGTGACCTTTTGATTTAAAGCTTTCGTGACTGCAGTAATTCATATTCTTAGCTCTTTCGGTAAAGTCACGTTGAAGGGAAACAATAAAACAATAAAATATATATAAAAAAAAATTCTCACGACGTTTCGACCATAACACAAACGGTCATCATCACACATCATCACACCTGACACATCATCACACCTGATGATGACCGTTTGTGTTATGGTCGAAACGTCGTGAGAATTTTTGTTTTATATATATTTTATTGTTTTATTGTTTCCCTTCAACGTGACTTTACCGAAAGAGCTAAGCATATATATTGTGACCTTGTTTTAAAAAAACACAAGTGTTTAAATAATTCATTATATTCCATTTCAAATCTATTTCCTAAAATTGCATCTAACATTGAAATGTTTAATTAGAATGGTGTGTTTGGAGTAGTAACGTGTGTCCATCACTAAGTAATTATAATTAGACATCTGTTTGAACTGTGGTCGAATGCTGGGATAACAAGTTTATGGCAAAATAATTAATAGCTTGAGTGACCTTCGAAACAACCACAGCCGAGATTTTGTCGACCACCTGGGACTCTCAAATCCAGATACAATGTCTGCCTCCAATGCCTTGGTGGACTTGCGGAGGGTTAGACGGATGACAAAAGTACGAGAATACTTTCACGCTGTCCAGCGTGTGTTATCGACCTCGCTCAAAACGCAGTCTAATTTCTAGTTCTTTAATGATTTTTATTCTTACATTCATGGACACTGTAAATTTAAAGTGCACTACGACCTGTTCTTGTTGCGGTAAACTTCTTCGAGTCTTATTTTTTTCTCCCCCCACAGACTATGAACACGAGTATAGACTCGGGGGATGGCTGGGAATTTTAACGAGCAAAGGCGAGGGAACTAAACTGTTCTCATTATCGCGTGGTCCTGCAAACCTTAGGGGGGTGGGGGGGGGGAAGCTCAATGTACAATTGTCACCCACGTTTAAAGTTGTACACTTCACTGGAGGTGATCAATACGCACATTTGCTCACTGCGCCCTACCAGCTGAGCCACCTGGGTAGGTGGTGAATTTATTCCATGGACTACTGCATTCCACTCGTGGGGTCATAATGTGAAATGAGCACTCCCCTTCGTTAATAGGCTGATGGTGTGTTCACTAACTCGTGAATTAAAAAATAAAACAAATAATTACCACAATTTTATAGATGTAAAAACAAACAATACACGGCAGGTTCAGTTTATTCACCGGGCATGCGAAAGAGCCAAACAGTCGTAACCACCCTGAGGTTATCAGGCAGGGGAATTTCTCTGATGGAAACAGTTTAACTCTGTCGAGGCACTGGTGACCGTCATGGACAAAGTTCCATATCGTACGATCAGTTGGGGAGAAATGGAGTGCAATTGTGGGAGAAAAACGTTGCTGTTTCTCTCCACCATCAAACAAACGAGGGCTCGAGCCAAGATCAGATTTTGCCTTTCAACCGTTTCCAGAACGCTTTCTGGAAAAAAATGAAAACAAACGCCTGAGAGTTTTGTGGCTCACAGTGCAGTCTGTGTGTGGGTCCCTTCCCGTGTGTGCCCCCTGCCCTCCCCCGCCCCCCGCCCTCCCCCATACTTTTGCACGCCAAAGCCGCGCGTGCTCGGAGCAGCAGTGGAAGGGCTGCTCGGAGACCGACTGCAATGACAACGTGGCGTCCCACCACTCGGCCGCCTCCTTCTCCTCCAACGGCGTGGGGCCTCCGTCGCGCTTCCACACCCCCCCGCCGCGCCCGCCCAAGTCCACGTCCTCCTCGTCCTCCTCGTCGGGCTACTCGTCCGACCCGCGGGGCTACAGGGTGGCGTCGGACGGAGACGCCTTCCCGTCGGTGGCCCCGGCGCTGCCGATGGGCACCGCAACTCAGAGGAGCCACACCATCTCCGTGATGGAGAACATGCGCGCGCACCGTGCCGGTGGCAACCGCGGTGAGACTCGAAGCCTTGTTCGCAATCATAATCATGATAGGCGAGGAGATTTGGTATTCGCGCCGCTCTTAGAGCACAGGGCACTCACAAACGCCCTCTATTTCACAGACGTGTAAAATTTGGCAGTAGGGGTGCGATGTTGCGATGTGGTTTTACCCAATTGTGTAATTAGCAAAATTGCCAAATTTATACCATGACGACGGCATGTATGGCCTACTTTTTTTTTTAAAAATAATGTCACGGTATTCTTAATGCCCGCTATGAAGCAGACGGCGCGTAGTATTCATGGTTACTGAATATATCTGCAATTAAAAGGAAGTACAGTGAAACCTTGGATTGCGAGTAACTTGGTCTGCGAGTGTTTTGCAAGACGAGCGAAACATTTAAATAAATATTAATTTGATAAACAAGCGAGGGTCTTGCAATACGAGTAGTACGTATAGACGCTTTGTCTGCCGAGTGTCACGTGATCACAACTGATATACGAGTGCTTTGATATGCGAGTGCTTTGGATTACAAACACGTTAATGGAACGAATTATGCTCGCAATCCAAGGTTTTACTGTACCAACCTTTATTATGAAGTACCAATTTGTTGGATGTCAAAAGTGTTCACTCCATGGAGACTGGCCCCTGCCATGGGAACGTGGAATAATTTTCAAGGGTGCCAGTGGAGATGAACACTGCTCAATTTCCTATTTCACTAGGAAGCAAGTTTGAATTGATGAGCATGGGGAGCACTTAATTCAACAGCGATAAGCCAAAGTGAAGTAAATTATGATTATTATCGTCGTAGTCGTCATCATGAAATAACACTTGTCAATGAATTGTGTTTCAGATCTGTTGCCCAGAGACGTCACCACATTTGCCGACCCAGCTGAGGTCAGTGATGAAACAGCGGCACAAGCACACTTCGTTTACATGCAGCTCTCGGACACCGGAGTATCCAGCAGCCAGAGAGAACGGCGACATTCACATAACCACCACCACCCCCCCAACCCCCCTCCCTCGCAGGGTAAATATCCGGCAGACGACGACTCGGACGCGGAGGACAACTACGTGGCGATGAGCGGGAGCTCGCCCACTCCTCCCCGCACCGCCCGCGACAACGGGGTTGCCCCCTCGCCCCTGCTCGCCGCTCCGCTGCTCGACTCACCGCACGACAACTACATTCCCATGAGCCCCGGGCTGGGGGAGGTGAGCGCGTCGCTGGGCGCGAAGATCCCTCCGCCGGTCCACACGGGCTTTCGCTCCGCGACGCCGTCCTCGTCCTCGTCCTCGTCCTCGTCCTCGTCCGCCGGCTCTTCGGCCTCGCTCCCTCCGGGCCTCTCCTCCACGCTCCCTCGCCGGGTGCCGCCCCCGCCGACGGCGCTGCCCCAGCGTCCCGCTTCCACGATCCCGAACCAACGCACGGCGACCACTCCGGCTCACGTGCAGCAGCAGCAGCAGCAGTCGCCGCTGGGCAGGAATTCCCCGTCGCTGAAGCACCATCCCCGGACCGCGCCGACGATGACGCCGCCCCTGCAGCTGCGGCCCCTGCCCAGCATCGTCCCCAGTCCCCAGCAGCAGAGGGCGTCCAGCTCGTCGAGCCCCGTGCTCTCCATGCAGCGCCCGCCCGTCAACCGCGAGCTCAAGCCCGACAGGAAAGGTGACTTTGCTTGGACGACCCCCGGAGACGCTGATAGAAGCCGCCGCTTGGTTTGCGCGGCGAAACGTGGCGTTTCGGTTACGTAGATTATTTTGCTGCTATCAATTTCCACAAGATGAGCCACTTTGTTGAGCTGTCATTTGTGGCCCGGTCGCTTCTGAAAAAGAAGCTAATAGCTCAGTGGGCTGTACCTGGAAATATAAACATAGTTTCGTTTTATTTGCTTATTTTTCCCATACTTTGCACTCCTATCATGTTTTGTAGTGTTTGTTGTTGTAACGTTCTGGCCGGTTCCTACTGGACGTTGTGAAAAAGAGCTTCATAGCTTATCGAATTCCTTCAGTATAAATACACATTCCGACCCTGGTTACATTTGTAACGTTGGTGATGCGTATGGCTTAACCTGCTGTACCACACTGCGTGGAGCTGATGTTGGCACTTTGTTCAGTCAATTATTTGGAACTCTAGCTACGGTGGTGATACCATGGTTGGATAATTAATCAAATTATTTTTGAAAATAATTTTATACTCGTAAATGCTCTGGGTATTTTCATTCTTAAAAGTTGAGAAAAGTTATTTCTTACATTTTCTGTATCTTTTCTAGTTACTTATTTAATCAGCATGGCCAATCTTTTATGAACACGTTTCATTTATCATGTTGCACCCACACAGACTTGAACAAAAAGAGCTGTTCACGAGACTCTACAGTGATTGTATTTTATATATATATTCACACGCATCAATTTCAGATATCTCATGCGTGCATCAGACTGACCTTCGGCATGAAATATTCAATGCATTGTAACTTTAATTCATCAACATCTCTTGGGATGAAACAGAAGTTATAACGCTCGTCACAGTGCCCTGTGTCTTCTATGTTGCAGTCAAGCCTCCGCCTGTGGATCTGCCAGATCTGTGCATGGTGGCTCCAATTCACTCCCCGGAATCCAAGAGCTTCTCTCGGCCAGAGTACGTTTAACGACGCTCATGCCAATCGGCACTGCAGCGCATTCTTACGATAACAATGATGATTACGGTAGTACATTTAGTCTTCATTCTTATATTCTTATAGTCTATGGCTATCAATAAGATGCTATTTTACACACGGGTATTGTCAACCAGTAGGGGGTGATGTTATGTTATTTTTTCCAATTGTGCAATGAGGTCATTTGTGGGTAATTATTAAATTTGCCAAATTTTGACCGTGACGCAAGCACACATAACTTAGTATTTTCGAATTATGTCATGGGATCATTGACGTCGACTCTGAAGGCAGATCATTGTTTTTGTGGTTAATATTCCTGCAATGTGCTCAAATCATGAACCTCCACAACAAAAGCAAAACGCTCTACTGCTCGGCCATAGTACGTGCGCGTGTGTGTGTCTGCTCGGAGCGTTCTGGAGATGACGCATTTCCTGGAAGCTCCTGCATGAATGTGCGTGCGTGACGTGACGTGTGCTTGCGTGTTCGCGTGTTTAACGCATGTCTGTGCGTGTTTAACGCATGTCTGTGCGTGTTTAACGCATGTCTGTGCGTGTTTAACGCATGTCTGTGCGTGTTTAACGCATGTCTGTGCGTGTTTAACGCGTGTCTGTGCGTGTTTAACGCGTGTCTGTGCGTGTGTGTGTGTGGGGAGCAGTGGCATAGCGGTTAGCGCTACGCTGCGCTACGAACCTGGTGACCCGAGTTTGATTCTCGCTCATGGCCAACACCAGTGGCGATTATCTGAACCGGTCCTGGGCCTCCCTTAGGTCGACTCAGCCTAAAATGAGTACCTGGTGCGGTGTGTGAACATCGCCACGTGGGGAGACAAAGGCGGCCGCGCGTGGTGTTGGCCACCCACCCCCTCGTGTGACGCGCCAGCCTTAATAATAGGTGCTCGTTAACAGCACTTGCTCCAACAGTCTGTTCAAGGCTATAGGGGGGGGGGATCTTCATGTTTGTTTGTGTGTTGCGGTGCACGCGCGTTTTTTTCGAGCAGCACGTTCCGCTTCTCCTCGAGCCCGCGGCCGCGACCGCCCTCCACCCACAGCACCACGTCAAGCTCGGACTCGCAGGACAGCGAGGAGAACTACGTGCCCATGCGACCAAACCAGCCGTCGGATAACATGCCCAGCGCGGTAATGCCCAGCGCTCGCGCGCTTAGCACACTGACAAAGACCAAGATCTCCCAGTTATTGCCTTCACAGACTGTTGGGGCAAAGTGCTGCTAGCGAGCACCTATAAAGGCCGGAACGGCACACGAGTGGGTGGGTGACCAGCACCACGCCGTTGTCTCCCCATTGGTGATGTTGACACACTGCACCAGGTACTCATTTGAGGCTGAGTCGACCTAGGGGAGCCCCAGGACCGGTTAAGATAATCGTCACCGGTATTGGCCACGAGCGGGAATCTAACTCGGGTCACTGGATTCGTAGCGAAGCTTAGCGCTAACCGCACACTTTACACACGCACATCACCCACGCACTCCGATGCTGTATCATCATCAGCTAAGATCTATCCACTGCTGAATGAAGGCCTCTCTACAATCTGTTGCCATCTCTGACGGTGTTACGATGCAACAATCCACCTGGCACCTGGACACGAGCGAATTTAATCACTCCTTCTTCCACGTGGATGTCATGTCAAGCACATTCCCTCCTTTGGCTGCCATTCTGTAATTTGTTTTGGCCACCGACCATTGTCCCATCTAGTGGCGTGTTCCTACACAAGGCCACTTACTTCCTTGATTATACGCTCCTCTTTTTGTCTCTCTTGCATTCCTGTTGCTCATGTCCATAAATACACAAACTGTAAAAAATGTTTGTGAGGTTATTGTTTGTGCATCGTGCGAAAAGAGAAGAGCATGCAAACATATACCCTTCATAAGACACTCGCCTACAATGGAAGGAGGCAAATGTAGGAGGGAGAACAGCAAGTAGGTTTCTTCACTGCTATTATTGTTATTGTCCACTTTTATTGAGGATTTATCAAGGAACGTTGGTTTTCTCCAGCATGTGAAAATACTAAAGCATGGTATACTGAATAAATAGTATTATCCTAATAATCCTGCCATTATTTAAAATACAATAATTTCAGACGAGTGGCATTTTTACAATTTGGGGAGGGGGGGGGGATATTTAGCAAAATTCCGTGAGAGAACGTGCAAAATGTCACCTGCTGACAGTTGAAAATCGCTGTCCTGCAAAGAACCCACTGAGAGACCCTCACTGAGGCTTAATGAGTGCGTAATATTAAGCGCCCACTTTGGTTCCTACAGTACGACCAAAACCTTGCAGTTCGTTGCATTGAAGTCCCCCGTCGTGATGCTGCTATGTTGCTTCGCTGAAGGCCGAGCACTGGGGAATTTTGGCACGGCATAATGTTTGCAATCATCGATGGCTCACGTGCGGTGTAACATTTCGTTCAAAGAAAATTGGGGGATTTTTTTGTTTTTAAAGGGCAGTGCGTCCGTGGAGACGGTTAAGTGGTGAGAGTGTGTCCAATTGTAATCTCTCAGGATCGATTTGTTTGCTGTAAAAGTGAAAAACACTGCCGCCACTGCTGCTTTGCGTTGATGCTCCAATTTGCCAGCAAAGCACACAATGCAGTGTTGATTTAGTCTGACATGCGTGTGTCTTTGTATTTGATTGTGGTGTGGACAGGGTTCCAAGGCTGCAGTGGTGTGTGTTCCTCCAACTGATGGAATTGCTCCCTGTTCCGGAATTAAGAAGGTGGAATACCTAGCCTTGGACCTACAGCGGAGCACGTCACCTAATCCTCCACGCAAGGTAGGGGGATGGCGGAGTGGTTAGCAAAATTGCGGTACAACGAGTTTGAAACTTGGATATGAGTGATATGTTAATTGGTCCTGGCTCCCCCCACTCACTAGTTTGCATTGATGAGCATGGTGAAGTGTGGTCAAAAAAATCCCCCACAAATGGCATGGAGAGGCCTTCATCTACTAGTGTATTGGATGTACATATTTTGAACTTCTTTCGCACCATACGTAGCCAGCCGTGCTCATCGGAGGTGCGGGGGAAAGACAAATAATTACACACAAAAAGCAGTTCTAAAGAAATAAGTTTTAAATCTATATATAAAGGTGCATAGCTCCAGTTGCTTCCTAATATCGGAATAGGGTTTCAGACGGCCGCAGAAGTGCACCTGAAAGTGTGCGATGCAGTGACCGTCTTTGTTCGATGGCTAGCCAAAAAATTTACAAAGTGCTGTGATTATTTTTTATGTTGTAAAGCCAGCCATAGCAGCATCCCTTTTGAAGACATCTGGCGAGCATAGACGATTAGGCCGAGATATCCTCCATAGAGAGTCTCATCTGCCAGCAATTGCGTGAGCAAGTATTGCATGCTGCACCTTTACCTACAACCTCTTTGCCGCAGCAGTACTGGCCTATAATCTGGTTCGTGGATGCTCGGTGGTGGAATCGAGCTCCGCGTTTGCCCATCGTCACGGTTCAACCTGCGTTCACGCTCGCCTGTGCCTTCGCCTTCCCCGCAGCAAAAGTCGACGGTGATGGTGGCCGTGGTGCCCTCCGAGAGCCGCGTCGACTATGTGGAGGTGGACCAGGAGAAGACACGGGCGCTGCAGAGCACGCGCCAGGCCTGGACCGACGTGCGGCAGTCGTCCGAGTCGGAGACGCCCGCCAAAGCGTTCTCCAGCAAGTAGCACGCGCCGCCGGTGAAGGCCAGCCCCACAGCCGTCTGGTTTCTTGCCTTCTCCTTCTTCCACGTGGAAACTAACAGCACTGCCGTTTGTGGAAGAGAGGCGAGGAAGCTTTGGGAAGAGGGCGGGGCGGCAGGACGTGCAGCTGAGCGAGCGAGAGAGGAGGCCGATCAGAGCCGAAAGTTGCGGCCTTGCCTTAAGGACTCTGCGTTGTCCATGAGGCTGCGAATGGTGGTGTCTGACCTGAGTTTAGAGCCGCTCGCTCTGCGTTGTTCAGATGTGTTGTCCTGGTGTTTGGGAGGCTGAGGAAAAAGAGTCCTTGGACTTGAACTTCATTACGGAGGTCGTTTTTCCTTCGAAGGACTTTTACAGTAAGTCAACTGGCCTGACATCGCACACAAGCCTTGGTCTACAGAGGCAAAGAAAACAAATCAATGCCCAAGAGGTAACTTTCTCACGCAGACATGCTGTTTTTTTAAAAAAAAATATTCCACTCGTAGTTATATAATTTAGTTATTTACGGTTTTAAAGTGCGAAAATGTATTCATCCCAATGGAGAGAATCGACCTCGTGTTGACCATCGGAGATATAACTGGTACCGTGAGTATTTTTTTCTTTACTCATACTTTAGAATGGTAGGTTTTATTCTGCACTTGAACTAATCAATTAAACCTGCACGCTGAGTCCTGGTTTTGAAATAACCACTGCCAAGTTTTTCCAACCAGATATGTGTAGCCTGGTTCACCCTGTCCCTCTCCTCTCGCGAATCCTAATGAAGTCAGCTAAATAGACAATAAAAATAATACAATTCGAAGATGATGAGTAGACGCTCCGGGTTGTTGTTCTGTCCTCCTGAGGAGTGGGCGACTCCACAACGGCCGAGCACCAAGAGGTTTCGTGAAATGGCAAAAATTTATTTCAAAGTTCTTCCGAAGGGCATTAAATTGCGTATCCGCAATAATGACCAGACATGCCCTCCGCGTCACAACACCGCAACTCAATCTCTCAGAACGGAATTCGCCAAAATTTAAATTGGGGGTGTGCCCTCTGTACTCTGCAGTACACGTGGGGCTCTGGGCCCTAACCACATGATCACCATTGCCTTCCCTTAAAATAAACCAAAAAACAACGCACCTGGCTTACCCCTAGCTATTACAGCTGTGAAATATAATACAAAATAGGTTCCCATATGCTGCGGAGTGCACAATTATACGTGCGGTTCATTACAGGTAAGCCTACACCGGCTAAGTATGCAAAAGGCATTGTCATATTCTTTTTACAACTTTTATTTTGGAACTAATTTCTTATCGCCCATCGGGAAGGAATTGCGGAATAAAAGTAAGGGGGAAAATAAAAAATAATCTGTTTTGGAATTGATTGTTGAATATCTTTGGTCGTTGTGACGTGTTAGTAATTATTAAATAATAACAATGCATTTACTTAAGGGTGCCTCAATTTTACAGACTTTAGCAGTGCCCGATAACACATGACGGTTATAGTTTTTGTTACTCAAGCGTAAAAAAGTCTGCGTGTGTGTGTGTGTAGCAATGAAGGTTAAAATGCCCTTCTTGTAATTATCACTCTTCCATTGTGGCATGGTAAACGTGTGTGCATTGCGGAGAAGTTTCGGGGAATATTTTTCATTTTCTATGAACCTGCCCCCCCCTGTTTTCTATGAGAAAAGTTGGAAGATTGTGGATTTTTTTGTAACCTCCATGCGATTTGTTATCCCCCCGAGTTTAGACATGACGGTGCGTCGTAGCAAACGAGAAGTATTGGAATGGAGAATATTTTTTGTGGAATTATCTTTGTGTTAAGAGACAACCATCATAAGTCAATGACAGTCACGTGTTGGCTATACAGAGCTAAGAATATGATGTTTTTTTGCTGATTGCTAATTAAAGTGTTTCTGTGCGTTTTGTTTGTTTCAAAGTGGACAACTCCAAAAAGCTATTTTGTGTAACTACATACCCAGTCACTATTTAAATACAGACCCCAGGTACATGTAAAGGGATATGCGATGCATAATTTAAAACAGGTTCATGATGAGGTATAGATCGATTTATCACAGACTTACGAACGAGTTCGGTTCCAGAGGTCTGTCCGTAAGTAGATTTGTTCGTAAGTCCAACTACTGTCGATTCCAACATGCTGAACGATATGTACACTAAACACGGGGAATGGCTTTAAAAGTTGTATAATCTCTTGTAGATGCCACTGGTTCTTCATGTTCTACAGATGTAGACGCCACTGGTTCTTCATGTGGCATCTACATGACATACGGACAGGTTTGTTCGTATCTCTGAAAGTTCGTAAGTCCAATATTCGTAAGTAGAGGAGACCCTGTACAGTAACTGTGGACCCCACCTGTTCCGTATGTATGGTATACAGCGTTGCCCCCTCGCATTCGTGGGCTTTGGGTGCTCCGGTTTCCTCCCATATTTAAAAAAACAACCTCATGAATTGGCTGTAAAAAACTTCATATATAAAGGACCGCAGAGCTTGGGGTGGAGGGAATTTGGCAGCAGCTCACCACATGGCTGTTGCCTTCCCCGCTTGTCTTGGGGTTCATCGCACCTCGCGAGTTGTTATCTTCCGTCGCGAGTGAGCAAACACTGTGCAACGTGTTATAACTTGAAATGATTAATGTGGTGAATATCAGCGTACCATTGATTGTTGATATTTAACCACATTTAAATTTCATATTAAAAGGAAAAGAAAATAAGTCAAAGTGAAAGCACAGCCTCTTAAGCACTATATATTTTTTTTACACTTACATTTTTGTGGGAAATGTCACGATTCACGCATGTTACAACGTTGAAGGTTTACAGTTTTTAGATCATGCTACTTGTGATACAAGATTAGTGGTCGTGTAAGTCCTGCGTGTCGTATAAATTACACGCGTTTCCTCTCATTCCTGTATGCATAACTGTGTACAAGCGGTCTGCAGTGCCAGTGGCATTGAGGGGTGCAACTTAAATACTAAACGTTCGTGACGATAGTGCAGGACTGATAATGGTGGCTTGTAGAGCATTACAGGTCAAGTCGAAATTGTATTCGTTCATGATGGACAGACTAATCTGAATTCTGGTAGGAGTCGCTACACGCTTTAACCAAGTTTATTATTTGGTGCTCTGCCTTAACCGCAGGTCCCTTTGGCTTCTCCACACTTATCTGTCCTCATGCCCACAAACAACTCCTCCATTTCCTCCCACGTCCCTGTCCTCGGCAATATTCTTTGTTCGTGTTCACTTCCATTCTTCATTCGACGACGTCCTTCTTCATCAACCCCCGTGCCCTCGTAGATTGCGAGGGCACGGGGGTTGAATGCAAGGGCACCTCAGATTGGCACGGTTGGACGCGTAACGGTGCGAAAGAAATTCAACATAGTACATAAATACGTCGAATGCTGTTCTTCTTTCTCCTTCCGAGGACTTCCATTGTTCTTTTTTGTTGATGTCATTCAAGATCTCTTAATTGATCATCTTCTCTGTCCAGCTCACTCTCTGCATCCACATCCACAACAGAATTCACGAAACGAGTTTTGAAGCGTTTTCTCTGCAACATAAAACTGGAATCACGATTTCTTATTATGCGTCCGGGCAGGGTGCTAACGTTTAGAAGCCACAAAAGGCACACACACGTGACCTTACCAAGACAACGCTCTCTCCAAATCTACTGCAGCAAGACTCTGCAGATGTGTGCAGGGTGCAGTGTACTTGTGCCAAGCACAGGTACAGAATAGCTGACGGTAGTTAACCAGTCGTTTGAGCTGCCTGTGTATGAAGTCTGTTTTTGGTGCAGTTTGCAAATGTTTTGTTGTTAAGGGAACTACTTTTCTGTCCACAGATATAGTGCAACAGCCTTGACATGAATGATCCCGATTTAAAGCTTTCGTGACTGCAGTCATTCATATTCTTAGCTCCTTCAACGTGACTTTACCGAAAGAGCTAAGAATATGAATGATCCCGATGGGTTTCTGTAAAGGCTGGCTTGTGGGGACGAACATTTTATTAAAAGCCAACATTGGGCAACAAACACAAGTGTCTAAATGTGACCACACCTCAAGACGACGTACAAAATGCCAACACGTGCATGTTAGTATATTGTGGGGAAAGGGATGAGGAATTTTCGTTCCATAAAAGGTGATGTAAAGTTATGGAGGAAGCCAAGCTGTGGAAAGTGATTTCAGTGCTGATCAAAACATTTGGACAAGTATAAAGGGATGGAACTTCCAGAGGATTTCCATGAAGGAGATACGAAATCAGCTCTTGTACAGGTGCTATATGGATCGTTGCATCGCAAGACCATGAAAGATGGGGGTAGCTTGAGGAGGCATTCATCCAAGTGGACTGATCAATGATAAATAATCAGAGGTGGTCTTCAGCCTCGACTTGAAAAGATGGAGTGAGCAGTGCAGACAGAGATGAGTTTCAGTGGGGGCAGTAGCAGAGATGGAGTGATCACTCTTTAAACGCAGTTTGAATGTTAACTCTAGCAAGCCTTCGCCGGTGACACACAACATTTTATGGTCAGCAGTGGACAAAACAGCAGCTTTCCGGCTTTTGCACATGTGCTTAGATGCCTGCTGCTGATAGCACAACTGTCAAAATGAGTCCAGCCTTGCCCAGCAATCAAGATAGGCTTGCCAAGGGATTGCCACAGAGACACGAACAGCAATTAATTATTAGTGCTGAGCTTGGAAAAGCTTGTCTGGATATGGGTGAGCAGTATTATGGTATAGGTGCAGAGTTTGATATTGTTGAAGGTAAATTGAGTTGTTCATGTACGAGTTGCCTTCTTTTTAAGATACTTTGAGCACATGTATGCAGTTAACATATTTATTGTCCACTTTGATGTGTTGCCATTAAGCTGAAATAATGCCAATAATAAAATGCAATGTTTTTTTTAAAGAACAATCTCATTGTTTTGGATGCATGCTTTAAAGTGTCTGGTCATTTTCAATGGCATCAATAAAGTCTCATTTTCTATTGGGAATCAGCACCTTTCAAAACCTGCAGAAACAAATATTTAGAAACTATGGTTTTAAACAGTTTAAGAGTTTTGCCCCGAAAAAATGGGGCTAAAGCCCCAACCGACAGCCTAATGTATGTCACTTTCGTAATAATAAAAAAATATATAATCTATCTTTTAACATTTTGTTTCAAGCAAAATGCATTTGCATATAATGAAGTTGTAAGTGAATTACTTTAGAAACCACACGCTTTTAGCTGTCACCTAAGTATGTTGTTTTTCTAAATTTGTACTTGAAATCAATTATTTTAAAATACATTAAGAATATACTTGAATTAAAGCAATGAATTGTGTTAAATTAATATAAAACCCAAGCTTTAACAGGAAGAGACATGGCACTGCAATCATAAAAAGCAAATTAATGATAGTCGACCGATTGTGCAAACATTCCCTCACCACACACTGCCCATGCAACATTGAAATACGATCGCAGTGTAGTTAAAGTGGGATTAATTCACGATTTAATCCTTCATGCTCACGGCACCCAACACAAAGCTCTCGCCACTCACATCCGTCTTCCCCCACAGCTCGTCTTCAATACCTGTCTCCCAAAATTAATATTGCCCGAGCAAGGTTGCTGTCATTATCCCGACTGTGCACATTAACTGGGATTTAATAAAGTTGCTCTTGATCCTCTGGTTCATAATTTGAGGTCAGTGCAGGCTTTTCTAAGCATGTATTTGGAGACCCAGCCTACAATATTGTTCAACAGTAATATTGTTATCGCAAATCTTCCAGTCAAAAGAAAGTTGCCCAACATTTTGCACCATGAATAGTATTTATTCCCAAAAATACACGTGTTCTTGGTTACACACAAGAGTGAAGACACTGTTGCACAACAATGTATGCACGAGCCGTCTCCTTCACTCCAATCAGTTCCTACAATCGTGAAAAAAATGCATTCCACTACAAATTCCATAAAATTATCACTGGTGAGGCCTATGGTCTGTGGTTAAAAAGCAAGGGTGTATCAGCTGCCTGTACCACCACCAGCTCTTTGAAGATCCCACCACTCAACTTAAAAGTAACCTGATGAAAAGCATTCGTAGTCAACGGAGCACTTGCCCAAAAGTGCTCTTGACAGCAGTTTCACCCATTCACGTCTCATGGGCAGCATGCCACGGTTGATGTCAAATGTTTCATTGTTCCCATCAGAAGTAATTGTATTAGGGTAAACTTGGTACTCACAAGGGGCACACCCTTTATGAACTGCATACCATTGGTAAGGCATCCTCTTGAGTCGAGTCACAACCTGCGTTACTATGGTAAAGCAATGTACGATGTAAATATGGGTCAACATTTGGCGCTTCATTGTCAACCATGATCAATCCACTCCTGCATTATAAAGCATCCCAAAGCAGTCGCCATCTCTTGCAATCCTGAACTTTTCAATTGTATCAATTATCTCGTATCATGCACCAAACAAAATGACAAGGGCTGCGTTGGAAAACTAAATGTAGATGCTCCATACATTTTTATTTCAGCATTATCAACATAGCATGTACGCCATTTTTAAAACTCATTTCGACACATTCTATCAGTATATAACAAAGCATTATGGCTTCACATCCATTCCCTGATATGGTACACACAGTAGTGTTTTACACATACCTGAAAAAAGATGCCCCCTGCATATTTGATGCCATTAAGCTGCTCAAAATCACAATATCCACCCAGTTTGTAAGAGTAAAGGAAATACTGTGGAGCTAAACTCAACACACATGGACACTAATGCAAGCCTGGTTTTCTCAGTTTGGAAAAAAAAAGCGTTTGGAAAATTGAAAATCTATATTTAAATCGGGGTCCCTGCTTTTATTATAAATTATTTGGCCCTTTCGGTCAAGTCACGTAGATAGCAAAAATAATAATATCACGACGTTTCGATCGCAACACAAGCGGTCGTCATCAGGAAAAGTGGGGTTAGCTTCTAAAGACAAACTGCTTATAAAGGTTTGAAATGGGCGTAGCCCAAATGTCAGCAGCCAATGCCAATGCAAGTGGTGGGCAGCGACCGCGGCGGTAGTGACCTTTCCACCAATCACGGCCGCCAGCCAGAGATTCACATGTCAATGCAAGATCGCCGAGACTCCTTCACGGCGAGTGCGCCAAGGTGGCTATGTTAATGTGAGAGGTTAGCATGTTCATGGGAGGTCGTGAAGCAGCAGCCTCGAGGATAGCGCGCGAGGTAGCTGTGTTAGTGAGAAATGTATTCTGTTAATGTAAAAAAAATATTGAGCCGAGAATAACTAACATCGGAAGGTGGTAGGCTGGGAACATCACAGCCAGTTATGACTTAAACTGGTTAATAACCTGCCACCTTCCGATGTTCTGATTTTTTTTTTACAAACTGAGCAATCATTGGAAGGACGTTATTAACCAGTTTAAATCATAACGGGCTGTGATGTTCCCAGCCTACCACCTTCCGATGTTAGTTATTATTTTCGGCTCTGATTTTTGACATTAACAGATTAAATTTCTCACTAACACAGCTACCTTGCGCGCCATCCTCGAGGCTGCTGCTTCGCGATCTTCCATCAACATGCTAACCTCTCACATTAACATAGCCACCTTGGCGCACTCGCCGTGAAGGAGTCTCGGCGATCTTGCATTGACATGCTAATCTCTGCCTGGCAGTCCTGTGATTGGTGGAAAGCCCACCACTGCCGCGGTCGCTGTCCACCACTTGCATTGGCTGCTGACATTTGGGCTACGCCCATTTCAAACCTTAATAAGCAGTTGTCTTTAGAAGCGAACCCCACTTTTCCTGATGACGACCGCTTGTGTTGCGATCGAAACGTCATGATCTTTTTATTATTTATTATTTTTTCTATCTACGTGACTTTACTGAGTTCCTGCAGTCACCAAAGCTTTAAGTCAATATTTTATTATCAAGTTTCTCTAAACAACAACTGGTAATAAATCTGGGAATTTACTAACTGGAGTGGTGAATATATAGAGTTCAACATGCGATTTTCAATTAATGTGCATCAAAATTTATTCAAAAACCTTTTCCCCATAAACAAAAGCCCAAATTAAAGTATCGAATTGTAAGAAAGATGTATGTCTTTGCAAAGTGCAAATATTTTATAACTTAGTTTAGGGTAATAAAAAAACAAATATTTCACCTATGGCACAATATAGTCTTCTGTTGAGAATGGTGTCACAAGATCTGTAACGTTCACTTCCAGCACAGGATGCTATGGTAACGTTACAAGGAAATTACTGCCAAGTGGTGGGAATGAAGCTATGGACTCATTGCTAACTGGCCCGAAGGCCAGTGCTCCCACTACTGATCCACCCAACTGCCTAATATCGGAGTTGGGAAATTTATATTGCAGCCTGCAAGCGGTTATGCCTTCGAGCTACTGAGTTGAGAAAAAGCGCACATGAAAAAAACACAAACATTCACCACTTTGGCCAAAAAGTAATTCATGCAGCCTGAGTTGTTCAGTAATGGGATTAAAGTGGATGGTCACGGAGGGGAGGCTTGGGGAGTGAGGTGGAGGTTACACTGGGCTCAGACGTGCAGATGAAGTTCGGGTCAAAAGACTAGGCGGCTGATGGAGCTGAATCCACTGCCTCCACCCCCAGGGCCGCAGCTCCCAGGCGAGTGGCTGTCATCGTCATCGCGGCGGTGATATGATGAGGATGAGGAGGAGGTACGGAGAGCACGGGTCCGTGCCTCCAGCTCCTGCTCCTGCATTGCACACGACACCAGTGCATGAACATAACACGCATGCACAACACAAACACACAGCAGATACAGACATGTAAAAATTCACACACACAAAAAAACACAGGGACGTCAAAACACACAAACACAGAAACACATATAACACAGATACACACACATCAAAGCACATACACAGCAAAGCTAGAACAATTATTATAATACATTTTGTTCATGCCCCTGGCTGAAATATAATAAGTCAAAATGGTTTTGTCACTTTGGTATAAACATAGAATTATATTCCATGACTAATATGCAAATAGAGGACCTGGCAAAAAATCTACCTAGGGCACTGTACAGAGTAAAACACGGAGAAGAGACCGCAATTGTTCACATCATGGCCAAGTACATTATTCAAAATCTACTAAAAATACCTGTCTTTTTCGATTATGAAAACAATAACATCCTTTATTACAAAAACCCTTAATATCAATTCACTTTTATAGGATGGTTCTGCACTGGTACTAAACTAAACTAGTCTTATTTTACCAGGTATGAACCACTGAGCTATATGGCTCTTTTTCAGAAGCGACCTGGCCACAAATGATAGCTTAACGAAGTGGCTTATCGTGAGGAAATTTATAGTAACCAAATACTCTAAACGTAGGTTTCTTAATGTGGCAGGAAAAATCGGAGGACCCAGAGGAAAATCCACACGACCACGGGGGAGAACGTGCAAACTCCAAATATACAGGCACCAGGGTTGGGATCGAACCCATCTCCTCCTGTATACCAGGCGAGGTAGTTAACAATCCAATGAAAAAAGGAGCTAATGCCGATTTCTGACCTGGAGGTAGAGCTTGTTGTCGCGGCTCACAGCCTCCATTAACTCCTTGCGGAGGGGCGGCTCAAAGCAAAGTCGCTCGCAAGCAGCACCGTCTCCCTCCGGCCGGCGGTCCCTTCGCCGGTAAATCAGCACGTACGCCGTGTCCTTGGGGAAGCGGCTCGTAACGCCGCTCACGGAGCCAAACGACGAGAAAGACACGCGGCTGTCGTTGAACAAAAGCCATTCCTCCCCCTGCTCCTCCTCCTCCTCCTCCGACTCATCTGCAGTCTTCTCTTCCTCCTGGTCAACCTTTGAGGCGGTGGCACAAGGGAGTTGACAGCTCGGCGGGCCTCTATCGTCAACGTCTTTATCAGGCGGAGGAGCTGAAGACTCATCGAGATCGCTGGTCGTGCCGGTGGGAGATGCAGCCGTGCCCTCTGGCATGAGGTTGTTGTTGCTGCTGCTGAATCTGTGGCAGCGTCTCGTGCCCCCGCGCTGCTTCCCACAGTCCCGGGCGTAGCTGTAATAGTGGCCGCTCTCCGAAGACATCCCCGAATGCACCACTACGGACGTAAGCACGTACGGCACAGTCGAGTCACAAAACCCGTCCGATTCGAGCTCCACTTCAGAATGTTTCATTTTTTTGCAGAGCGGAGACTTAGCATTGCAGCAGGAGTCATCGGTGTCCACCCCCGAGCTGACCTTTAGGTTGCAGCTGCAGTCCTGCGAGCAGTGGTTCTTCGGCGGTGGCGGAACACATTTCATCTTGGCCCGTGCTGAGAGGACGAGGCTGGGAGGGATGTGCACATTGCGCAGGATCTTGCGGCGGGAGTGAGTCCGCATGTCGTAGGAGAACCGCAGCAGCGTCAGGACCAGGTACTCGGGGCTCTCGGCCACCAACGTGGCACGCTCCGCGTCCTGCAGGGAATTGCACGCCTCGCAGTAATACCGGTTCTCCCCGCTCAGTGTCTCTGGTGTTAGGAAATAATTGATCAGACCGGGCACGCTTTCCGACTCCCTGTCTGTGTCAGAGTCAGGTGAACAAACGACGACCTCCGGCTTTGATGGCGGTCGTTCATTACTCGAGACGGAGACACCGTTGCCGCCGACTAGAACGTGGGGTCCCGGCCGCACTTCTACCGCAACGTCGGTGAAATGTTCTATGCCGTCGCTCGGCATAGTCATCGTGGCAGCGTCTACTTTGGTGTTAGATGTTTCTGCCGTTTCCGTTTCTTGGGAACAGCGACTGTCATCGCTTACGCTTGTGGCCGGAGTAGAGGCGCTTGCTTGCGTTGAGCCTGTGGGGCTCTCGCTGCGGAAGGTGCACGCCGATTCGCTCACTTCATCACTGATGCCAAGCTGCGTGGGATCCTTTACGTTCACACCTTGACACTCGGGCGCCTGCGCGCAGCCCGAAGGCAGTGCCGAGTGTTGTGTCACATTTGGCACACTGCTTACTTCGTTGGCCAAGTGCGAACTCGTGACCGGCTGCACCGAATCAAGCTTTGCAGCGGACTCGACACCCTGCGTCGGGAAAGCCAAGGAGAGGTCGGTGAACGCCTCGAACCTCTCCGACACGCCTCGGCAATTCTTGCAGGAGATCCTTGTCAATAACTTCCCGCCGAACATTTTTTCCACCAGCGTCCTCTCCTCGTCTTTCTCAGAAACTTCCTTCGGTGATTCTAGAGCTTCAGCACCTGTTCTTTTGCAGTCTTGTGGATTCCCACCGGCGGATTGTGTTTCTGTCAGCAAGATCCCGCTAGACTCTGGACCTTGCTTTGCTGCTTTTGCATTCCTACTTAGCTGAATTAGAGTTTTTTCTTCTTCGTGTATCCTGATGGATAAAATCAAACACCGCACACAGCCAAAGTTCAACTAAATCACGTGACATTTCTCGTAAAAATATATACGTAATTATTTATACCCCTGTGTTAAGTAATTGCTGGATGAAGGAATCCCCATATCATTTTTAATCATGTGGCTTTCTTGATTCTACTGTACCATACTGGTCAGCACAAGAGGCAGTGAGGAGTTGCCCAGGACCAGTAGTCCAGTTACTGTTTTCTCGACTGATATTAGCTGTTGCTTGGAATCAAATTGAGATCACTGGGTTCATATTACAGTATGCTAACCACTGTACCACTGCTTCCCTCCAATTTATATGTACAAATAGACAATTAAAAATTAACCAACGTAATTCTGAGTCCAAATGCAGCTTTTCTGTAACTTTTTAACACTATTTATGGATTAGGATAATTATTATGCAATAACAAGCTAATGTTACATACAGGCTAATGGTGGAAACGAAACTGTGCAAGTCACAAAGAAAACATAAGAAACAATACAAATGAGAAATTTTGATTTAAACGTTTCGTGACTGCAGGGATTCATATTCTTGGTTTTTTCGGTAAAGTCACGTAATAATATTATTATTTCATTGTTTCCCTTCTACGTGACTTTACCAAAAGAACCAAGAATATCATACAAATGATATTCATTGCGGGGGGGGGGTTGTGGCCGTGGGGGAGTAAATCATGCTCCCTTGTTATTACCTCGAAATAAACCAATTCCAATACAACAATAAAAAAAAAACTTCTGCGAGTGAATATTAATGCGGCGTCACATTCCCACGTGTATGACGCGTTGTTCGAATTCTCTTATAGAAATAAAGATGCACGCCACCTGGTGAGGAGGTACTTGAGGTACTCGGAGCAGTCCTGCTGGGAGCCCGGCGTGAACCACGGGGGGCGCGACACCTCCAGGAAATTCCTCGGCTCAAATGCAGAGCGCTGGGTGTGGGGAGAGTCAAGGCAGGCACTTTACTTTACATCACATCGCATCTCGGTTTAATACGGCAAGGATTTGGTATTGTTTACATCAGGAGTTTATTTATCTAGGAAAGCCTCAGTCTTCATTTTTCCACTGTGGGACGTTTGACCAGTTACTTTCAGAGTGTGCCTGGGACAGGCTCGGTTCAGATATCACTGCCTATGGACGTTAGCCGTGGGCAGGAATTGAACTCAGGTTGCCGGGCTCAAAGAGCACCGCGCTAACAACTGTGCCACCGGTCAACTCCCCGCACCTCCGATTTGCGCAGTTGGCTACGTAAGATACGAAAAAAGTTTAACATAGATATACACATACAAGAATTACATATTTATATATTCTATGACAAATTACAGTTTGGTGTGGACAGAACCTAATGATAATAATGCAACTGAACAAGCAAAACAGTAGGGACCAGACACAGAGGGGCACCTCATGCGGAGACCTCAAGCTGCTCGTACCTGTGTATGAGCCAAAAAGGCGAAGAGAAGCTGCAGTTTTCCCATCAGAGGACGTGAGCCGTTGAGGCTCAGAGACAGAACCGCTCGGCGGAAACTGGGAATGCAAAGAGGCAAAGCCACTGCGTCAAGTACAGGCGACACGTTGCTCCTTCACCCGTTCATTTATACGTGAAGAGTGATTGTACATAATATTCCCAATTGGCCATGTAATTGATGGCCACACAATGGAATGGTACCAAAAATGGTTTACAAAATAAGCATACTTTGAATAAAAAAAACACACGCAAAACAGACAAAAATAGCATAACCCTTATCAATGATGTCAAAAACTCTGTATGGTACTCCCGATATCTGGGTAACCTAAGGAATTGTAACTGGTGTGTGTGCACACATGTGCTCACAACGCCATCATCTGTCCAAAATCAGCAATCACTGCACATGTTGAATTGAACACACCGAACGAAGAGCATTCAAGCTCTTCTCTCAATGCCGAGGTGCGCACGCTTACTGTGTGGTCATGAAGAGCGCCTGGATGATGCTGTTCATGTAGCAGGTGTTGCCCAGGTTGACGAGGCCGGTCCTCCCGGTTTCCGACCTGTCTGCCGCCCGCTGCAGAGGCCCCGTGGGGGATGCCGAGCGCTGCGACGTCCACGCGCTGCGAGTGAGCGTGCGCTTGATGTCGTCCTCGTGCAGCAAGGGGAAATCCTGTGAACCACGCGAGCCCGGGCAAAACGATGTGACTCGCGTGTTCGACACATTCACCCGATGATAACTCGATAACCTGCGCGCGAGACAAGTGTGAACGCCCTCACCTTGAAGAGCTCGAGGATTGGCTCGTAGAGGTCAGGGAAGCCGGAGTACTGATACATCATGCACTGCATGAGGCGGGACAGCTGCCGAAGGCACGCCATGCTGGTGGGAGACGCCTCTTTGCGCAAATCCGTAACCAGCCCCGGCATGTGTGGCAGCAGCTACGTATCGTCGCACACACACGAGGAGTGGAGTGTAATGGTTGACAGAACGGGGAACTGAAACTATGCCACATACAAACCAGTCCCTCACAGGCAAGATAGTTGATCGAGCTCTTGGAAGGTCATCTTGTAATTGAAATCAGCATTGGCGAAAGAAAAACGAAACGAATGGTGCCTGCATTGAATCTGGGGTAATTCGAGCCTTTGACATGACTTGCCAGGTGGAAGGCCTCAGGCGAGTGCTGGAAGCTGAGCAGCATGTGCGAGAGCACGGACAGCGCGCCAGCTCGCACCACCGGGAACCAGAGCCGACTCAGCACCTGCACCAGCAAGCACGCGCGCCACACACGCACAACCGTCCGTTCACCAACACACACCATGGGCAGAAAACTCAGCTGGCATATTTTGCATTATACCACATCAGCGCCAAAGCCATAGCCGACCTGCTCGATTTTGAGGACGGTGACATCGATGAGGATGGTGAATTTATTCACGGCAGCCAGACCCTTGAGCAATGCTGTCACCCAGCAGTCCACACGTTGGGCCAAAGGCCAAGACAGCCAGTCAATCATCCTGGCACGGACGCGTACCGCACAAGGGTTAAACAGTGTAGGGTCCTCCAACTACGGGTGGCGCGGGTGCATCTCCTCTCTGGCAGAATCTTTGCGGGCATGGTCCAAATACATTATTTCACAGTAAGGATTTTATCATGCGTGGTGCTAAGCTTAGATTAGAAGTATGGCTGATATGTTTCCATCTGACTCTTTCCATATGCATTTCTCTCATTTCAAAAAAATGAATATTGATATGAGATGCATGATTTGGCAAACTCTTGAATATTTCAGAATCAAGACCAAATAAGGATGATGTAACTCAAGCCATGCAGTCCTTATCGTGTCGATATGTACGAAGGCTGTGTTCTGGGCTATCCAACTCAAGTTTGGAGCATCATTATAAAATATAAAAGACTTTCAAATCACAGCAAGGTACACCTTTAGAGTTCTCTAATGACACCACTGCACTGCTGACATTGGACTACACTGAAATGTAATCACGTCAAAATGACAACACAATATTTAGAAATGTAACCGACTCACTTTACAGTACATCTTCTTACTAATGAACCACACTCGTGTTGGACAACCCAAGACATAGTCTAAGTGATTATCTACAAGATTACAGCCATTCCTTTGTTCGGTTCATGTCATTCTTTAGAGAGGTTGAATCATTTGGGAGACAAAGTGAAAGGTCAAATTGTAGGACAGCTGTGGTGCGTTAATGGGCAAGGCCGCGGTAACTTACCTGCACAGGGCCACCATCATGTTGGCGTCGTGGACATTGGCGTCGGTCGTCAGGCTATGGATGATGACGTTGGTCATCTGCAGGGGGATGTACTGCACCAGGCTGGCAAGCGCGATTGATGGATCGGCGGGGACGTCTGGAGCGTGGATAATAATTTCACTTGCATTTTTCAAATGTGACTGTCCCATGTGTAGCTACATGCATAAAATATATCTGTTTTGCTTTGGACACTTAGGGAGCTGTGTATAAAAGATGATCACACTGCTGTGATTTATATAGAGGTAATTTATGAATTAGGATTTTGAGCCAAGCAATTATCCAAAATGAATAACAAAATAAAATTCCGACAATGTTATCCAAATGCTGCTACCGACGTCATGTCACGATACAAAGCATCCATTGCAATCTCTCGCAGAGCAGAATCACTGAATTAGAAAGTGGCTCACTGAAATAGATATCACAGAACTACTTCTGAGATAGCTTCAAGCAACCTGTTGCACAAAGTAGGGGGCACCTCTTCTACCACTGACAGTAATGCAATGTTTGTGCCTGAGTTAAACCAATATTTTTTTATTATCAGAGCAGAATTTAGCTAAATAAAGTGCAGAAACAATTTTTATGGAATGGGGTTTATGTGCAGTCACCAGTGACTGGGCTGAAACAATCAACTCACTAAACTGGCAAACTCAGTCTAACCACAGGTGGATTCGAACCCAGGGTTTGAGTGATACCAGCTCAATGCTGAGCTCTGAGCCAAAATGCATTTGTTGATACTCACATGCATACTTGTTCATTCCATTATTTTTCAAAGAATTATTTTTAAATAAGATAATTTCCATTAAAGACAAAATGTGTAAGCACTTTGAGTGGATTATGCATATATATGCAGATTAATCCAACACTGATTAAATTATCCATCTTACTCAACAAGCAATATTGATTTGATGGGTCTCAATTGCAACAAGAGTAGTTGCTTTGTTTAGACAGACGTTTGCAATCATTTCAAACATTGCCATTTGTACTGAATTCTGTGTTTATGAAAATGTCAAAAGGCCTCAAATTCCATTATCGGTTACAATTACAACAACATACTGGAGGACAGTCATGTTAAATATGAAATGTCTGATAAAGATTATTTTTACAAACACGTATAAAAATTACATTTTCCTTCTGGGCAAAAACAAACTTTACTAAGAGGGGTTGTCTTCATGAAAAATAATAACAATCAAGTATTCCACTCTCTAATCTGAAAATAGTATTTAAAACAGCTCAATCAGATTATTTGGGTCTTTCGGTAAAGTCACGTAGATCGCAACACAAGCAGTCGCCATCACCTTATGACGACCGCTGTGTTGCGATCGAAACGTCGTTGTTTTTTGTTTGTTATTTTCTTTGATCCTAGCTACGTGACTTTCCCGAAAGACCCAGAGAATATGAATTCCTGCCGTCACGAAAGCTTCAAGTCAAAGCTTAATCAGAATCAATGTTTTATTATTATTGTAATAGCTAACGATGCAATCTCTCTTTTACAAGGGAAACGACGAGTACGACAGGCACGCGGCTTCTAAGCAACAAGCGCTCATCGTTTAACAGACAGTGTATTTTCCTTAGTAGCTCGGTACCTGGAGTGGAGATGATGGCAAACACCTCCTGCAGGGAAGGGAGGAGGGCGGCCGGCTCCGACACCCACACCTTGGGCAGCAGCCCGCTGACGCGATTCACATGCCCAATGAATTCCCGGATGGCCTTCTCGCTGTCGGCACTGTCCCCCTCTGCTGCCGTCGCCGGGCAGACAAAGTGACCGATGGTCCGCACAAGCTGCTTGCAGAAGACAATGGCCTGCTGCCCCTCTCTGGGCAGACACTGCGGGAACTCTATGAGTAGCTCGCCGAGTCTGTCAGGGATAGACATGTGCAACTTTGTTAATCACGCCCGCACCTCCGATTAGCACAGTTGGCTATGTACGGCGTGAAAGAAGTTCAACATACATACTCCGCAACTTAAAAAAACCCCACTAAAGAAAGAAATTGGGGATTTGTATTTTTAAGGTGTACATACACAGCTAGGCTACATGTCCCAAGGTGTTTGACATGAGTATGAAGCTTCACAAATCAGCTGGTATATACAGTCAAGTGACATCACTAATCCCGTGTAAAGCAACATCAAAGCAGTGACATCAATGCAGCATGTTATTATGGCGGTGGGTCAAATGTTATTTTAAAGGCTATTTTCTAAAGAAAGATTATTCCCACCTGTTTTGGACATCCTTTAGACACACAGCCCAGGTAAGTACGTATATGACAACTCTCCCCAAACTACCCCTCAGATTTCGATGAATTGTCACGATTTTCAGTCATGTTTTTATCCAAGAATAAATACTTTAATTTCCCATGCGATGCAATGGCTCTGCATAAGGGGTCAAACGAACCAATTACGCACAACATACACATTACAATAAAATATTACAAGCACAGCTCACAATGCATTATCGCAAGCATACAAACGTATATTTTATTGACAAATCGATGCAACGGTGCATTCCTCCTTTGCAAGTGTGTCGAGGGCGAGGACTGTTTTTTTTAGTTGCGTCTTGTTGACGTGAAACTCCTCACCTGCACGCCGTAGACGGTCGGAGGCGCTCGCACACCATGCGCAAGGCCTCGGAGCGCAGCGAGGCGTACACGGCGAGCACGGACGGGAGGCTGAGGCTCAGGCGTAGGCCGTGCTGCACAAAGTCGAGGAGGCGCGCGTCACGCCGGCCCAGCGAGCCGTAGCCTTGGCGCAGCATCCCGAGCACCAGCTCGCTGTTGAAGAAGTCGCCGAACTGGGCGCGGTGGCAGCGCGCGTAAGCGTCCAGCACCTGCTGGCCGACCTGTGTGAGGAACGATGAGCTACGCCGTCAGTCGCGCATCCGAAGCAACGTTCGTTGGTCAACGTTACAGTGGCTGCGACGGCCAAGATGCTCGTAGCTTGGTCTGAAGTAACTGCAGTGAAATAACCGCGTGTCATTGATGGCGCGGTTTGGTGCTTCAAATAGTGGCAATCTTCCACCACCAAATGACCGAATCTCTAATAGTTGCTCACAAATAGCCGTACAATATAATCATTTAATTATTATCATCACTAATGATAAAAGTGATACATATTCATAGTAAGTATTGTTACACTTATCTAAAGGTCATTTCAAAGTCGGCTGGGACATCGGTTGGAGGAGAGACCAATAAGGTGGACGCTAACAATTGGGTTGTAAAGGCTTGACAAAGTAGAGGGACTTGTGTAATTTTAAACTTCAGTTACTATATATCGTAGTCGAATTTTTGCACATCGAGTACAAATATATGGTGAGATACAGCATTAACTATAACACAATTAAATAAGATTAGGTTATATATATAAAGCAAAGTCAACAGCATTTCGTAAACGAAAATAACTTTAGCTTGGGTAAGCAGTATAGCTGGCCAGTATGAGGAAATTGCAGATCATTTCAAACTGAGATCAACTGAGGGGAAAAAGCAACCTCCCAAAGAGCCTGTCTGTACGAACCTCGTTCTGCCCTGTTGATGTGTCGATCGTGTATCTGTACCTGTCTCTGGAAGGTATCTTCACTGAGCAGAGTGAGGCGTGTGGCGAGCGTGAACATGGCCTGGCATTGCTCTCCATCCAGTTTGCCTTCGGCCGCTTCAAGGACCTTCTTCACCACGCTGCGCTTCACCGGCAGCGGGTGCGATGAGCTCAGCAGACCCTCCAGGATCTTGTCCATAGCTGCGTGGTACACGGTGGTTGTGTCACAACTTCGTCACTTCTGTAAAATGTAATAAAAAAATGCACAGTCCTTTGTCAGTCCGCTCCTGGATGAAGACCTACCCAATCCCGTCATGCCTGTCATGGAAATTATTTGACTATGGTTCACCACATGCTCAGTGCAGGTTGAAGGCGTGGAGCCATGGATGGTTTAGATATCACTTGCCACCGATGTCAACTATGGCAGCATTGTACAGACATGGGAGCATAGTACAGTAACACCAACGTACGTTGCTGCACAGCCCTCTCGGGTGCCCACAACCTAGCCCTGCAGCCTACAACATCAGTTATCTAAGGTGATAAACTCTGTTCAGCTTCCAAGACCTGAAGAAATTGCATGCATTATGGGTGATTTGGTCTCAGTCTAGCACAAGGGTCGGCATCCTGCGGCTCTGGAGCCGCATGCGGCTCTTTAAGGACTGCTACGTGACGATATTTATTAAGGACCGCCGTCTCGTATTCACATGCATTGCGGCTCCTGAAATATTTTTTTTTACCGAATATATATTTTTTATGTTATTTTGGTTACAGACCCCCCAGTTTCGCATTAAGTTGATCAAAAATAAGTAATGTACATGCATTCCCACTTATTGAGAGCATAGCACACAATGCAAGAGGAGAAAAATTATGTTGCAAAAAAACGGATGTTTGTTAGCAATACAGCACAACTGTGGCTCTGTGCTAGTTACCAAAGCACTGGCATTTGACAACGAAAAGTCTATAAAATCTGAACGGTGATGAATTACGCAGTGCTGGCACAAAACAAGACCTTTAAATTCTGTATGCTGCCTGTTCATACGGAATGACAGTATTGCTTACATCAGCTCAATCATTCTTCCACACATGAGGCTTCGAGCCAAGGGTTTTCAAAATGCTCATTAGTGATGGGGAAGCATGCATTTTTAAGGCTGAGCACCCAGAATGAGAGGCAGGGAAATTTGCCATAACAACAGCGTTCTGGAAACTATACTACTGCTATACTACAAGTACAACTATACAACCCAACCTGTGCATATATCTCATAAATACCTGATTTAAAGCTTTCGTGACTGCAGGGATTCATATTCTTGGTTCTTTCGGTAAAGTCACGTAGAAGGGAAACAATAAAATAATAAAAATATAAAACAATAAAATTATCACGACGTTTCGACTGCAACACAAGCAATCATCAGGTGTGAAAACCACAGCAAGAAAATTTGAAAGTGGTTTTCACACCTGATGATGATTGCTTGTGTTGCAGTCGAAACGTCGTGAGAATTTTGTTTTATATTTTTTTATTGTTTCATTGTTTCCCTTCTACGTGACTTTACCGAAAGAACCAAAAATATGATAAATACCTGTTTTAGTATTTAAACGGGCTCCCACGAATAATGTAAAAATTTGCATTGCTTCCAATGTTGCACTTTACATTGATTGACAATTTTAGGAGCAAAAGAATGCATCTATCAAAACCAAGAACTATGGTTTGGTAAACTTCTTTAAAATTAAGCGTGATTAAAAGCCATGCCTGCGTGTGTGTAATCGATGTGAAGTTTTGAGGCCATCGGATGGCTGTTTTTCTAATGTAGCGTGCACAGCTGTGTACTGGTGGCAGGCTTCCAAAATATTTGCTGGCAGAAATGGTCGAAAGGATGAGTGGTTCATTAAAGCACAAGACAGACGTGGAGATGCAACTGTGAGCACATTGGTGTCAGATGTCTTTGTAGTTCATGCTCATGCAACAAACCCCCACATGCTAATCAATGTACTTTGTGCTCAAAGTGAAAGAATTTATTGTGCGTAACTCAAAGCTAGTATATTCCGGTAAACATACATTTATGAACACAGGCAAGCCCGGGTGCAGCCATACCGATATGAACTGTACAATGTGGCTCTTCTTGTGCAGAGTAGAAATAAGTTGCACCCATTGCTGTGTTTAACTTATAATTCAACTGAATTATAACAGCAATGGTACAACATTGTTGACAGCATACTCTTGACAATGGCATGGGATCACATGCCATTACAATGAACACATGCCAATACACTTTTAATCTAAACATACGAATATGAAATAGAAGCTGATGCTATTATACGTGGCTTTACTGCACCAAATAAATTAATGAATTAATCGTAGGAAAATCTGCTTTGAGAATCCCAGTCCAGTACTGTTCATGTTAGCAGGTGAATACTTTTGTCTAAATGTAGACTTGTGACATACCTTCTCTATTAACTCCATTGTCAAACCCAAGAAACCTAAGACGCCCATCTAATTGCCTTTTAATTATCCCTAGAACAAGAATTGGAATAGGTGAAAGCCTTTGTCGTTGCAGCACCAACATTTTGGAACAACCTTGTTTTCTCCCTTACCACCGTAAATCTTCTTTCAAAAACTATCCTGAAGCAGAAGATTGGTGTCGGATAAAAGCACATTTGCAACTTTGATTCTTACCCGTGAATCACGTTACATTTTTTAATGCAATTTCATTGAGGGACTGTGTGTTGTCTTGGTGTGATCTGGGACTGTTTTTGTTGTTGTTTTACTGCTTTGGCCAAGCGTGTATTGTGTTCATAAATCGGCAGGCTATTATGCACACTTAGAAACGTTAGTTACATTTCGTGACTTGCTTACCTTTTCTCTATTTTGCACTCCTATCGTTTTAGCATTGTATAGTTTTGTTGTTGTTGTAACTTACTGACCCACCCCAACAGGACATCTCTGAAAAAGAGCTTCAGAGCTCATCGGACTACTCCAGTCTAAATAAACATTCTGATTCTATCTATACTTTACTGCATGTTACAAGAACTTTCCTCTTCTAGAATATATTACTTCCAGTGTATAATGTATATAGAAAATCATACACTGGAAATATGAGCACTTTTGTCATTAACACTGATAAACTGAAAAATACAAAACAAACTTGTGTTTTGGATAATGGACCACTACATTAATTATTAAAATGCTAATAAGTATCTATTTAAGATAATCAATGTGTGTTCTTTGCCTTGCCTATGTTATCAGAATTCTTATTCATGAGGCACGAGTGCCTGAATGGTCCTGAATGCCCGCAGCATACAAGGAAGTGCCCCTCTGTTTGAACCATATCAGCACGACTTAAATTTGCTTACACTTCCTGGAATCGTTGCCCACAAAAGAGCAAATTATTCCTGGAATACATTGTAATATGGATTCAATAACACACTCCAGAATCAAACATTCTAGGATGGAATTGAAACACTCCAGGTTTCTTCACTGCCCAAGAATGGTTGAACGGTTTCTTCTGCTGGCAAGGTGATGGCATCAGTGTTCTGGGATCACAAATAATGCACATTTCTTGGCCAAGGTTGCTCATAAACACCATCCTCCAGGATGTACATAAAGCAATTTGAAAGAAACGTAAAGGTCTACTGTCACGAAGATTAGTTTTTCTCCACCACAATACTTAACCCCAAAAGGCGAATGCTATCATAGCCAAATTAAACACTTAGTGCTGGATATGCTCTCCTACACCCCATATACAGTCCAGATTTCCATCTGTTTTCTCCTTTCGAAAGACTGCACTTTGGTGGGAAACATTTTCAATTACTATGCTATGGGCATTCAGGAACTTGGTGAGAGAAGTGCTGTGATGTGGATTTAACCTACATGTTGACAATTTGATGACCTGCCATGATAAAATGTATTTACTGTGAGCAAAATTCCAGGAATTACTTGAACCACCCTTGTACAATCCACCAATTGGCTTCTAAATATTCTGCAAAATTGTGCTGTGGTTACACAGTACAGCCACGAAGTGTGCACGCCTCACTTCAAGCTGGCAATTTTAACAGTGTTAAATTTATGGTTATACTGTTAAGGAAAAACTGGCTACAAGAATGTTGTCTAAAACATTCAAAAAATTGCCAAACATACAATCAAGGCCCACATCAATATGTACTCGATTTTGACTTAAAACTTTCGTGACTGCAGGAATTTGTATTCTTGGTTCTTTCGGTAAAGTCACGTGGATAGAAACATAAAAAATAATAAAAGCAAAAAATCCACGACGTTTCGATCACAACACAAGCGGCCTTCATCAGGCGGAGAGAAAAGAGGGGGCACCCTTATAAACAGTTTCATTTGGAGGCTTGCCCCTTCTTTTCTCTCCACCTAATGAAGACCGCTTGTGTTGCGATCGAAATGTCGTGGGTTTTTACAGGTAGGAACAACAGGTTTCACACTGCCCACCAGCGATTATTTGTCTGTCTGTCGTGCATATCCGGAATTCCATCCGCATAATTGGAGTTTCGGCACTAATTTCCAACACGGATCGCACGAATGCGCTGTCCAACCAAGTTCCTACCTGCCCACTCTGAAGGAACGTGTTTGCCTTTATTATTTTCTATTAATTATTTTTTATTATTTCGTATCCACGTGACTTTACCGAAAGAACCAAGAATATGAATATGCATTCGACTCGGTGACCTTTTCCTAGGTAAACAGTAGGTATTATGATAAAACTCAATGTAAATAGATGTACGTACTCTTATTTAACAATGGTAGAACAAGGCTAGTAATGACTTAGTAGTTCATTGATTAAGGGAGACAATTTGTGGGAAGCCAACAATATCAATAGGTCATCACGGGCAATGCCGGTGATGCCATAAAGCCTCGTCATAGTTTAATTCCGTCCGCTCTGGTGTTGACTATGCATAATCTCGCTTTAGAACTTTTTGTTTAAGTCTACGTGTCTTTCAAAGACAGCTCTTGCTGTCACAACCACCGTCTTTAGATATTCCCCTTCAGATATTTCCTTTAAAGACCTCTATTTATATGAACACGTTATTGTTTACGTCTTCCGATGATGCTCTAGCAGGCTCACCAACAACGAACACTATCTTTAGGTACCTCGAAAGACGTTGTTATATTGATCTACTGATTCCCCGCCACAGGAATGAGGCATTTTCACAAACAGCTCTGGGCCAATAAGAAGGCAGAACACCGCTCTCGGATATTTTTTATGACGTTAAGCATAAAATTACGATAACAATGATAGTGACAATATGAGTTAAATTAATATTGATAGTGATCATGTTGATAATCAAGATGTAGATGACGAACATATTAATAACGGTTGCATTTAGAATTATACAGAATTTTGAAACGTGACGCCGAGAACATATGCAAGTCAGTTAAGCAAAGTAAGCCGGGTTGGCACGACGCGTTACTAACTATAAGGGAAGACGGCGGGGAAACGAGAATGATGAGGGAGTGACAGTTAAGATGACGGAACGAATAAATCAGCTCGTGTACAGGTGCCAGGTGAATTATCTCATCGGATGACTGCGAGAGTTGGCGGCGGAGGAGAGGCCTTCATCCAGCTGTGGATATACCATGGCCTGATGACGACGATGATTTAATGTTACGGTGTTAATGTCTGCTTTACACGCTTGTAACGATTACAGGAACTCGGACGATAATTGTCTCAATAACAATCCTACGGCAACGATGATGACTGGTAAATGATGAGGCATTTTGGCGAACGATTAAAACAGGAGCCCCGGGTAGGAGCCATACATACACACGCGGGTGGGGTGGTGGGCGGCGGGGACCCTCCATTACCTCGTGTCGGATTCCTTCACGGCGGCTCTCACCAGCATTCGCCGCCGAGTCGCGGAGCACGGCTCGAATAATGCAAACGTGGTGAAGGTGGTGAAGGTGAGGAATGAGGCGACGAGCGCTGAGAGAGACGGAGAGAGACGTGGGGACGGAGTCCGCGCGACAATTTCATTCCGGCTGCGATCAGCTGAGCAGCGACTCCGGTGAGCTAGGACCCCCGCTACGGTGGGGGGGGGAGCCGTCCCACAACCCTGCCTCAGCGCCTGTGGCAATTTCAACGTCGTTTATTTTAATTTATTATTACTCATTTTTTCGGTAACATGTCGACATTTTTTTTTAACCGGCACTTAACCAAAGACAGCCCTTTGGGGGTCCTGACGCCCCAGCCAATCAAAACGCGTCCCTGCGCCAACTTTCGCGCAATTTCTGCATTGCGCTTTTTATCGCTATTTTTAACGCGCCCTTGCGCTATTTTAATCGATTATTAACGATTGTTATTTTAAAAATAATCATTCTATTTGTCACTAAACGAGCCGAGCGGCGATGTCGGACGAGGAAAGCGAGCCCGTGTCGCCCGTTGCCAAGCAAGAGGTAACGGGGCTCGCAGCGTTAGGCCCGCGCCTAGCCCCACTTTGCATTTCCCAGAGGAGATGCGCAGCGAACGTTACATTGCTCGCCCCCGATTGGCCGGCGCTTGTTTGTGGGCGTTTTTTCTGTAGGAGCTCCGCCTTGATTCGCGCGTCTCGACCAATCGCGTGCGCCCTTTCTCCGAGTGCCGCGCGTGCGGTCTACAATATGTGAAGCGCCTCTCCCACCGGCCTAAACATCGCAATATGCGATGTTGCGTCAACTTTCCCTGACGTATTCGCCACGTTAAAACTCTTTGCAGATGTCGCGAATTAAAGCGCTAATCCATTAAATTGTATTCCCCAGCGCTGACAATGCACCGTTATTGTGTATTCGTGTTGACAGCAAAGTGTTAAGCGTGCGTCGGCGTCGCTTACGACAAATACAACACAATTCTGCAATAAAACACACGGCCTTGCTTTCAAAAACTCCCCTTTCTATCGCTCTCCGTGTATTACTGATGCATTGAAAAATGCACCCACCTGACCCGTGTCGCGTTCAATAGTGCGTCAGTCGCAGCTTCGCTTACATTGCAGAAGCCTGAGAATCATAAACTTGTTGATAAACGTACAAAGGCAACACGGGGGATTGTCTATCCTCTACACGGGAAATAAATGACAACGCGCGTCATGTATTTCCCGTGTAAAGTTGATAACACGGGGTTATCTCTCCTATATGAGGTGCACCACAGTCGCACGCGTACGTACCGGTTTCCGTAGTGTAGTGGTTATCACATTCGCCCGACACGCGAAAGGTCCCCGGTTCGAAACCGGGCGGAAACAGCGAATTATTTTATCTTGTTTTCAACGTGCGCGCGCCCGTGTACAACCACACACGGTTACATCGAGGGGGGGGGAGTCGTGCGATTACATTAAAGTGCGCTTTTTGACTTAATCCTACTTTAAAAAAGCTGTGCTCCGCGTGCCTCAAGTGTGCTCACCAGCGTTTGCGTGTCTGCCGCGCCCCGTGCTGTGCCCGCACAGAGCAATGAGACCAGCGCTGAGCCAACAGCTTCACCCAACACTTCAATCCCAGAGGCAAAACCTCCAGACTCGGACTACGAGTACAAGATGGTGAGTATAAAACAATATAGCGTGACGGTGGTTTTTTTTTGTACTAAGGGGGGGGGGGGGGGAGAAGGACATGCAAACAACGTAAAACCAAACGTTACATGGGAAACAATGAAGAATTGAAATATCTGATTTTGGCTATCCTGAATTCAGTCGACGATAGAGATACCCCCCCCCCCCCACCGTGTTGGAGGAGAGGCTCGGATGCCCATTGCGTAATGGTACTATTATTAGCATTTTGTACAGGCATTGCACGGTTTGATTAACCAACAAAGCTTGCAAATTAAAAGGAAACTACAGCAGATCAAGCGAAATTTTGTACTCAACTTCGAGGAGAAAAGGACTACTGGTGTTAAACTATAGTATCAAGAATTGTTTGACTTTACGTGTAAGATTTAGTGACTCCGTATAAGAACTTAAAAGAGGGTTGGGACTTCAGTAGGGCAGGCTTTAAGTCCCCCCTTTAGCCAACAGCGATACGGGGCTAGGTGAGGACATTGGGAGTGGCTTGGGTGTGATATTTGAAATCGTTGACAGCAGGGCTATAATTGACTGATAAATTAAGGAAAAACTTCGACGAGCGCGGATTTACCGAATGATACACTGCCCTACACGGTTTACTTAATGGGGTCTGTTTTTCCTGGAACACGAGGGTTGATGTTCCGGCTAAACGTGGGTTGACGCTGCTACGAATTTGCATCTCCGCGTCGAAAAGTAGTGATCTGTCCGATAGTACTTAAGAGTTACTATCTTCTCTCCCCAACATTCAGCGCATGCCGTCTCACTTGTTTAATCATGGCGCCTAAGTGTTAGGTGAGTGGCGGCAATAAATGCAGTGAGAAGAAGCAGAGAAAATTTGATGAATTTAGTGCAAAAAGGCTTGCGACAGGTGGGAGTGCTGCATCCGTTGGACAGTACGATGGTGTCATTGAATCGATTGAGAACGATTAAGCCATCAGAGGAAAAGATAAGTGCCAGTGTTTCTGCCAACGCCGCAGCCAGCACTAAACTTATGTTGCTCAACATGATCCATTTATAGAGAAAATGGGAAAGGCATTTTGTAGATCGAGGACCCGACACAAAGAAAAGTGCCTCTCAGTGGTGCAGTTTTAAGGGAGAAGGCTAGCCACCTTTACGAACACTTAAAACAAAGCGAAAGAAGTATCAGTACATCTACATTCAAGGCCAGTAGTGGCTGGTCTGAGAATGTTTTAAAAAGATTCAGCCTCCATATGAAATTGATGGTGGAATCGGTATCAGCTGACCACGAGATCGCAAAGAACTTCCTGGACAAGATGAACATTTTATCGAGGGGTGGTACAAGCCTCTCCTGAATGCTCCCAGGGGTCACCAACTGACCCTGATTACCCTGGAGGGGGCCCCACAACCCGTCCAACATCGTCTTCACCATTCATCGTAAGTAAAATAATCAGTTTCACTTTTATTTCATTCTATGTGTTAATGTATTTAATTTTGTTAACATATTGTGTCAACACATTACATAAAATCCGTGATCTGGTTCCGTCTGTAAAAGATGTGATTCCGGACATACAATACCCTGGTGTCTACAAACTAAGTTGCCTCTGTGGTAGTAGTTACATTGTAGAAACCAAACGCCATGTCTCGGACCGCATTCGTGAGCACAAAGCAGACCTTAAACACGGTAGGACCAACACCTCGGCCTTGGCAGATCATTGTTCTAATTCAGTAGGCTCACATGCCATTGACTTTTCCAAGACAGAGGTTCTTTGTAAGCCATCTGGCTTCCATGAGAGATTCGTTCATGAGGCTATCCACATATACAAGCACAGAGACAATTTCAACCGAGAAGATGGATTCTATCTTAGCAATCATTGGAAAGATTTGATAAACCATTTCAGGTCTTAATTGATTGTTCACGCTTACAGTGGCTTTCAGACAGCATACATTATAAAAAAATTTCGTCTCCCCCCTCCTCTTTTCAGAATATAGATGGACTAGTCCTAAATAAACTGCCAAATCGTTGCGCGTGGCACTAACGTTTTATAAATAAATAAATGCGCCGTTTAAAAATAAATTTATGCAAACCAACACACCTGAAGACGACCGTTTGAGTTATGGTCGAAACGTCGTGAGAATTTTTTATTGTTTTATATATATTTTATTATTTTGTTGTTTCCCTTCAACGTGACTTTACCGAAAAAACTAAGAATATATTGTGTCCCTTTTTATGTGATACCAAGTGGACGCAAATTATTAAACAAAGAGGGAGGGGGTGATAGTTTTTGACCCAGGAACACTACCTTATTTTTCCCATGAGGTCTTTTATTTGACCAACCCAGTTTTGCCCAAAATGGAATTTGCCAGGAATGTAACCCCCGTGATCGGTGAGGTTTTCCTATTCATAGCTAGGCGGAGGTGGAGTTGTGCCAATTATTTGTGCACTGCGCTATGAATGTGGTGAGTTCAATTCCTGGCCGTGGCTAATGTTAGTGGCGTGTGATAACTGGTTTGATCCTCCCTTAAATCAGCCCACTGATCATCGTGGTAAAATATAGTCAAATAATCACTGTGGCCACTATGTCATGGGAGGCCTTTATCCTGCAGCATATTGAAAAATAGCTGAAATGGTTAGGTATGCTACGATGCATCAGTGCTATTAAATTATAATGCTTAAAATTGTGCATCTGAAAAGGTTTCGATTTTGATCTGCACGTTGCATTTGATATGGGTCCTTGTAAACTCCATAGCTACTAGATATTCTATATTCAACACATTGAAAAAAAATAATCTGGCATTGATTTGTGACCTCAACTTGTAGATCATTAAAATAATTTTGAGGTGGTGAATCATTACATTCTTCATAATCAGTGTTACTACATTTGCCGGTTTTGGTTGTATCGTGCCCAATTTCATGAAAATTGGATGTAATTTACAAATTCCTTTGAATCAGTTTCCTTAATCATAATCTAACGTCGTATTTAAATTTCCAATGTGTGTTATTTGTATATCATAACGGGAGGTCTATTTGCTTCCTGCGTCTCTAGAAATCCGATCGAGCAAACCGCTTCGAGTACCTGCTCAAGCAGACGGAGCTCTTTGCTCACTTCATCCAGCCGGCAGCACAGAAGGCGCCCGTGTCGCCGCTCAAGATTAAGCCGGGACGACCGCGGCAGAAAATCGACGAGAAGCAGCACCTGCTGTCCGTCGGAGAGTCAGTGGAGCCATTCACACAAACATTGCGCACATTTACACCTGTGCAGTAGCACAGTGGTTCGACTCTGGAATGACAACTTAAACCCTGCACAGAGGCTCAACGTTAAGCACAGCGGCCCCTTCACGCAGCGTTTTACTCCCACCAATAAAACAGATGTACAGTGATTTGTCCTTGACCGAAAAGCGGAGCCATGTAATGCCTGATGTGTGTCTTAAGTGATGCGGATTATACCCTTTTACATGAAATTATGTAAATTGTTTCGTCTCATTTTTACCAAAATGTTAAAAAAGTAAATACCTATGAGGTTGGTTCTAATTTGCAGTGCCTATGATCAAACTAACCAGGATGCATCCCATCAGATCTCAGAATCGAAGCAGGCTCATCTTCACCAACCTGCAAGGCCCAGCATAGTGAAATATGGACAAATAATCCCGACAATCACACTCAATCACAATTGTCGCTCCCTAGTGCTGTTGCCAGAT